CGTGCTGCTCTCTGATTGGATAATAAATCGGCTCATTGTGTGTCTAATTAAGAATAAATCCTGTTTCAGCAAAGATAATGGAGAAGGTCAGAGATTAAAAAACACAAACATTTACAGACCCGCTCTTTAATTAGTATCAGACAAAGCAGATGTTGTGACACAGACGTTATTCAAACAGCCGGGAAAGTGAAAGTGAAAGTAAAAGGAGAATTAGTTGTGGCTGACGCTGAAAACAGTCGGATCCTGTTTTAACGCTCGGGTTAATGAGAGCGGAACGAGCCATAGAGCTGCGTTTGAGTGAGTGAAGCCAACGCAGTCTGGGTCTCTCTCTGGACTCTCCTTCTCTTTTGTGGTCTCTATCCGGTCTCTCTTTGGCCTTTTTCTGGTCTCTCTCTGGTCTCTCTCTGGTATCTCTCACTGGTCTCTCTCTCTCTGGTCTCTCTCTCTGGTCTCTCTCTCTGGTCTCTCTCTGGTCTCTCTCTGGTCTCTCTCTGGTCTCTCTCTGGTCTCTCTCTCTCTGCTCTCCAACATCTGTTGACAGCTCAATTTTAAAACAAAATTTACTTCACTTCAATGTGTTTGTGTCTCGCCCTAAATCACAGCAGCCTCTGAGGACTGAGGCTGTAGACCCAAGACTGAGGCTGTAGACCCAGGACTGAGGCTGTAGACCCAGGACTGGGGCTGTAGACCCAGGACTGAAGCTGTAGACCCAGGACTGAGGATGTAGACCCAGGACTGAAGCTGTAGACCCAGGACTGAGGCTGTAGACCCAAGACTGAGGCTGTAGACCCAGGACTGAGGCTGTAGACCGAGGACTGAGGCTGTAGACCCAGGACTGATACTGTAGACCCAGGACTGAGGCTGTAGACCCAGGACTGATACTGTAGACCCAGGACTGAGGCTGTAGACCCAGGACTGAGGCTGTAGACCCAGGACTGAGGCTGTAGACCCAGGACTGAGACTGTAGACCCAGGACTGAGGCTGTAGACCCAGGACTGAGGCTGTAGACCCAGGACTGATACTGTAGACCCAGGACTGAGGCTGTAGACCCAGGACTGAGGCTGTGACTCACATTAATCCAGTTCTACCTGAATCTGCGATGGTCAGAGTGAGACCTGTGACCCTCTCGCTGTGAGGATCCAGAGAAGCACTCCATCAAAACTGAGAAGATTTAATAAGCCTGGAATCCTGCTGTGTGTGTGTCTCAATGTGTGTGTCTCAATGTGTGTGTCTGTGTGTGTCTGTTTGTCTGTGTGTGTCTATGTGTGTCAATATGTGTGTGTGTGTGTGTGTCTCCTTGTGTGTGTGTGTGTCTGTGTGTGTGTGTGCGTCTCTTTGTGTGTGTGTGTCTCCTTGTGTGTGTGTGTCTCTTTGTGTGTGTGTGTGACAGCAGTTATCGAGTCAACGTCGCAGCCTTTAATATTTAAAGCTTTTGCAGAATAAATATTTCAGTTCGGCCCAGAAACATACAGACTGAGAACAGGGACTAACCACCTGGTCCTGGATCTGCTCCCACTGGTCCTGGTCTGGTCCTGGTCTGGTCTCTCTCCTCTCCTGTTTCATTCATTTAAATATCCTAATCAAACAAATGAATCAAAACATATAGGCCCTCAGATTAAATCTCTTCTCAGTGGTTAAAGGAGCAGTCTGTAAAAATCTGGCCAAAAGTGGTACTGCAGTCAGAGTCAATATTCTGCAGTCTCTCCCACTCTCCTTGACTCAGGTTGCCAGACTCAGGTTGCCAGATACTCAACAAATCCAGCAGCAAACACAGGGAAGTATTTTATCAGTTGTTTGTCTGTCTCTCACAATGCCATGAGCCGTGCTAATGTTGGATTAATGTTTTTTTATTTGGCCATTTGAGATGAAAAAAATAAATAAAAGCAATGTAATTATACATATACTAAACTATACTAGACTATCTTGTGTTTATGATACAAATAAATGTGAACTGGTGATAAGTTTTGAATGTGTCAGGCATCCATCTTCATCTGAAATATGACAGTGTGCTACAAATATGTGTGATTACAGCAATGGCAAGGCAAGTATAGCACCATTTATACACCATCCATCCATACATTTTCTTCCCCTTAATCCACTTCTGGGTCGGGGGGGGGGTGGCAGTCAGAGATGCCACCCAAGTCTCACACAGCACCAGCCCCTCACTGACCCTCTGCAGGTGCTGAGTCCACAGGAGGACGGCTGCTCTGTCAGTGTGAGCTTAGCCATGATCTCTCAGCGGGGGCTTTGGGCAAAGTGGGGTTAAGTGTCTTGCCCAAGGACACGACCACAGCAGACATCAGTGGGAGTCGGTGGAGAAGGTGTTCAGGTCTAAAGGCCAATGCTCTAACAACTGAGCTACTGTCGCCCCACTTTTTATACCATTTATACACAAGTCAACTCAAAGTGCTGACAATGGATTAAATTAATATATTTTGTTTACATTTATTTTTGTGCAGCTATATGTCGTTAAGAGCATAAATCTAGTGAAAATAGATTTTTGTAAATACTAGTGGGAATAGAGCAGAGACAGTAAATATTGTACAGAGAAATAATAGTAGGAACTGTTGTCATTCTGTTGTAGTAGGGGGACCGCATTGACCGTGACCCCTCAGACTGGGGTGAAATGAGTGCTGCCATTACTTTAGCCAGATTCTTCATTTATCTTCTAGGTTTGTATTTGGACAGAAACACATGGAAGTCCTGCACTTGTACGTACCTGTTGTATTGAAGGATAGCAAGATACGATGCTTTGTGTTACTTTGGAGATTAGTTTTGTGTGTCTTTTGTCTGCTAACCGCCGAGGAAGCTAACTGTGCTAATGCTAGCGGCAGAGGCGGCTTTTCCGGTTCTCGTGAAAAGGGTCTTGTTTTTCGCGGGCATTCATCAGATTACATTAAATATGTTTAACAAGTAAGTGGCGTCCTGTAGCAGCCGCACAAAAGTATTAAAACAACAATTGGCTTGAACTGTTTGGTTTTATTATGATTCGGATACTTATTGTTTTGTCTTCACTAGATGCTACGATAAAGAAGTGGGCAGATGGTGTTAACTCTGAGTTAACAGAGCTAAGAACAGAACAAAGATAATAATTGTTTTATTTCTAATTTAAAAAGTAAGAAAAAATAATTAGGTGTCAATGCTATGGATTTTAGCAATTTTAACAAGAAACAAACCTCACATAGAACACATTGTTATTATACACATTACATGGTATATACATGTACACACATACCAGTGTGTACCAGTGTGGGCGGGTCCCGGGTCAAAAGTGTCCAAAATGACGTGCGCTGACATGCTGCAATACCACCCCGGGCCTGTGGGGGTGGACCCGGAAGAAGAATTAGCCAATGCTAACATATAGCATTAGCTAACCTCTCAAAAACGTCTTTACAGGATGGTCCAAAAGTCTGCTCTTGGCCCAAAGCTCCGTTCCACATGTGTGTCAAATCTGCGCAGATGCGTTTTTTCACATTTTCCAGCCCCCGCGGCCATTTTGAAACTGCCCATAGACGGCGGAAGTTGAGGCCCATTAGTTAGAACGGCGGAGATGGGCGTGACTACGTCCGTTAATATTTACAGTCTATGATATGTACACGTATACGTGCACTAAAAAGAAGTATACATACATACATATATTTGTACATATATACAGATATATGCAGGGTGCTTGTGCAAGTCTTGAAAGTCTTAATAAGTATGGAATTTTGAACCACTGTTTTCCAGACCTTGAAAAGTCTTGAATTTTGTGTGAAAGTCTTAATAAAGCATGAAAAAAAAGTATGGTAGAATTTTAGAGTGTGCTCAAAGGGATTGTGAAATGAGAATTAGGAAGATATTCTATAAAAATATAATTTACTAACTCACTGTACTGTACCAGCCTCGTGGAATAACATCCAATCAACACTTGCTTAGCCGAGTCAGGCACATTTTTGTGAGTAAGCACACAAGTATACAAGTACATCAAGTTAAAGTACATACGTACATGACATAGACAAGGACCAATCATTTCATTTATTAACACCTGTATTAAAACATGTTCTTTCCATGTGGGGGGTCTCTAGTCTCTCTCTTTAGTCCCTATGGTTTCTCACTGTCTGTGCTCTCTCCTCACTTGTACCTGTGAAGTGTCAGTGTTGTAGAGGTGACTTGGAGGCTGTTGTTTCTCTGTCTCTCTCTTTACAGCTGACATTTCTCACCACTCATTTATTGTCGCTCTGTCTCCATCTCTGTCCTGCTGCTTCCTCTTGTTTGGCCTCAGATCACAGTTTGACAAAAACATAACATTTTCCATCAGTATCTAGGACAATAGAAACATGGACTGTATCTCTGATCTCTCTCTGGTCTCTCTCTGGTCTCTCTCTCTGGTCTCTCTCTGATCTCTCTCTGGTCTCTCTCTGGTCTCTCTCTGGTCTCTCTCTGGTCTCCCTCTGGTCTCTCTCTGGTCTCTCTCTGGTCTCTCTCTGGTCTCTCTCTGGTCTCTCTCTGGTCTCCCTCTGGTCTCTCTCTGGTCTCTCTCTGGTCTCTCTCTGGTCTCTCTCTGGTCTCTCTCTGGTCTCTCTCTGGTCTCTCTCTGGTCTCTCTCTGGTCTCCCTCTGGTCTCTCTCTGGTCTCTCTCTGGTCTCTCTCTGGTCTCTCTCTGGTCTCTCTCTGGTCTCTCTCTGGTCTCTCTCTGGTCCCTCTCTGGTCTCTCTCTGGTCTCTCTCTGGTCTCTCTCTGGTCCCTCTCTGGTCTCTCTCTGGTCTCTCTCTGGTCTCTCTCTGGTCTCTCTCTGGTCTCTCTCTGGTCTCTCTCTGGTCTCTCTCTGGTCGGTCTCTGGTCTCTCTCTGGTCTCTCTCTGGTCTCTCCCTGGTTTCTTCCTCTCTGGACAATCCTAACACAGATTGTACACAGATGGAAAATGCTAACCCACTAGCTCAATGGGGAAGTGCTCAGGGTGAAGTTTTGCTCCCGGACCTGTAGACCTGGATAGTGACCTGCTGTTCCCTGTGTCTCCTCAGGGGGCGCTGATGGGCGGCCTCGCTCTGTGGGCGGTGGCTGCGGCTGCACTGCTCGCTTCCTGTTCAGGGGCGGTTTACGGTCACCGCGGCAACAGACGGATCACCACGGAAACTTCACCTCTGTCCTCCTCCCCCTCCTCACCCTCCTCACCCACACTGGACCAGCAGAACACGGTGAGTCCACTTTGTTTTGTTGAAGCTAAAGAAAAGTACACTGTAGACTGTATACAGATGGACAATGCTAACATGCTAGGCTAGCTCGATGGTGAAGTTTGGCTCCAACTGGATCTGGAAACTATTGACTTTTAACCAGAGGGAGAGATGATGGAGAGACTAGGAAGAGACCAGAGAAAGACCACAGAGAGCGACCAGAGAGAGACCAGAAAGGGACCAGAGAGAGACTAGAGAGAACCAGGAAGAGAGGGACCAGATGGAGACCAGAGACCAGAAAGAGGGATAGAGTGGGACCAGAGAAGGACCAGGAAGAGAGGGACCAGAGAGAGACCAGAGAGAGGGGTAGAGAGGGACCAAAGAGAGAGATAGAGTGGGACCAGAGAGACCAGGAAGAGACCAGAGAGAGGGACCAGAGAGAGGGACCAGAGGGAGACCAGAAAGAGACAAGAGAGAGGGACCAGAGTGAGACCAGAGTGAGACCAGAGTGAGACCAGAGAGATACCAGAGAGAGACCAGAGAGAGCCCAGAGAGGGACCAGAGAGAGACCAGAGAGAGACCAGAGAGAGACCAGAGAGAGACCAGAGAGAGACCAGAGTGAGACCAAAGTGAGACCAGAGAGAGACCAGAGAGAGACCAGAGAGAGACCAGAGAGATACCAGAGAGAGACCAGAGAGAGACCAGAGAGAGCCCAGAGAGGGACCAGAGAGAGACCAGAGAGAGACACCAGAGAGAGACCAGAGAGAGACCAGGGAGAGACCAGGGAGAGACCAGGGAGAGACCAGAGAGAGACCAGAGAGAGACCAGGGAGAGACCAGGGAGAGACCAGAGAGAGACCAGAGAGAGACCAGAGTGAGACCAAAGTGAGACCAGAGAGAGACCAGAGAGAGACCAGAGAGAGATTCAGAAACACATATATCTAGTTTAAATATGGCTGAATTATTTTGTCGCCGCACGTCGTCAGAGATTGAGAGTTGGATAATTGTGTTGTTGAAGTTAAAATGAATCATTTACTGAAGACTCCACTTTCTCCAATACTTTCAAAAGCGACTAAAATCCACAACAGCAGCAAGGCCACACACACACACACACACACACACACACACACACACACACACACACACACACACACACACACACACACACACACACACACACACACACACACACACACACACACACACACACACACACACACACACACACACACACACACACACACACACACACACACACACACACACACAGTGTTTGTAGATTAGATTAATGTGGATTGATTTTCTCAGCAACATTGAAGTAATAATGTAGAAACTGCCGCCAATAATCTGGTCTCTCTCTGGTCTCTCTCTCTCTGGTCTCTCTCTCTCTGGTCTCTCTCTCTCTGGTCTCTCTCTCTCTGGTCTCTCTCTCTCTGGTCTCTCTCTGCCCTCTCTCTCTCTGGTCTCTCTCTGCCCTCTCTCTCTCTGGTCTCTCTCTCTCTGGTCTCTCTCTGGTCTCTCTCTGGTCTCTCTCTGCCCTCTCTCTCTCTGGTCTCTCTCTCTCTGGTCTCTCTCTGGTCTCTCTCTGGTCTCTCTCTGCCCTATCTCTGCCCTCTCTCTCTCTCTGGTCTCTCTCTGGTCTCTCTCTGGTCTCTCTCTGCCCTCTCTCTCTCTGGTCTCTCTCTCTCTGGTCTCTCTCTGGTCTCTCTCTGGTCTCTCTCTGCCCTATCTCTGCCCTCTCTCTCTCTCTGGTCTCTCTCTGGTCTCTCTCTGGTCTCTCTCTGCCCTCTCTCTCTCTGGTCTCTCTCTCTCTGGTCTCTCTCTGGTCTCTCTCTGCCCTATCTCTCTGGTCTCTCTCTGGTCTCTCTCTCTGCCCTCTCTCTCTGGTCTCTCTCTCTGGTCTCTCTCTGCCCTATCTCTGCCCTCTCTCTCTCTCTGGTCTCTCTCTGGTCTCTCTCTCTGGTCTCTCTCTGGTCTCTCTCTCTGGGCTCTCTCTGCCCTCTCCCTCTCTGTGGTCTCTCAGCTCCTCTCACTAAATAAAAACATTCTTTCACTGCTGGATTTGCAGAATCAGGGACTGCTTCCAAACGCTGGTGTTGGCACGACGACAGCCAATCAAAGTCAGCCGTGTCTCTCTCCCTGTAACATCTAAACTGCCTCCTCCACCGCGGCACCCTCGGGAAACCCCATTGTTGGTGTTTACACGCGGTGCTCTGATCTGGCTTTGAACTGTGTGTGTGTGTGTGTGTGTGTGGGTGTCTGGGTCTGGGTGTGTGTGTGTGTCCATGTCTGTGTTCGTTTGTGTGTCTATGTCTGTGTGTGTGTTTGTGTGCGTGTGTGTGTCTATGGCTGTGTGTGTCATAGCAGAGGGAAATGTTGTGTACACACGGCAGAAAACAGTCACCATTAGGATTGGAATAGAGAGACAGTGTATGTATAATTAGGTCTCTGTCTCTCACTGGTCTCTCTCTCTGGTCTTTCTGGTCCATCTCTCTGGTCTCTCTCTGGTCTCTCTCTGGTTTCTCTCTGGTCTCTCTCTGGTCTCTCTCTGGTCTCTCTCTGGTTTCTCTCTGGTTTCTCTCTGGTTTCTCTCTGGTCTCTCTCTGGTCTCTCTCTGCTCTCTCTCTGGTCTATCTGGTCTCTGGTCTCTCTGGTCTCTGGTCTCTCTCTCTGGTCTCTCTCTGGTCTCTCTCTGCTCTCTCTCTGGTTTCTCTCTGGTTTCTCTCTGGTTTCTCTCTGGTCTCTCTCTGGTCTCTCTCTGCTCTCTCTCTGGTCTCTCTGGTCTCTGGTCTCTCTGGTCTCTGGTCTCTCTCTCTGGTCTCTCTCTGGTCTCTCTCTGCTCTCTCTCTGCTCTCCCCGCTCTCTCTCTGGTCTCTCTCTGGTCTCTCTCTGGTCTCTGCTCTCTCTCTGCTCTCTCTCTGCTCTCCCCGCTCTCTCTCTGGTCTCTCTCACGTCCAGTGTATCTCAGTGACTCTGCAGTCGGTGTAGTTTGTGCGTTCATGTCCGTCCTGTTCCTCATTCTTCCCGCGGCGCCTTCAGGGACTCCTGTTGAACAAATACAGTGAGTCCAGCTCTGACCCTGTGTCTCATGAATACTTCTCTTCTGGCTGCAGCTCGTACATTAATATTTCATGTTTTTGTGTCAAAGTCCGACAGATTCTGAGGCTGGAGTAAAACAGCTGACAACAGTGTCTCTCTCTCTCTCTCCTCTCTCTGTGTGTGTGAGTGTCTCTCTGCTCTCTCCTCTCTCTGTGTGTGTGAGTGTCTCTCTGCTCTCTCCTCTCTCTGTGTGTGTGAGTGTCTCTCTGCTCTCTCCTCTCTCTGTGTGTGTGAGTGTCTCTCTGCTCTCTCCCTCTCTTTGCTCTCTCTCTCTCTGGTGTGTGAGTGTCTCTCTGCTCTCTCCTCTCTCTGTGTGTGTGTGCGTGTCTCTCTGCTCTCTCCTCTCTCTGTGTGTGTGAGTGTCTCTCTGCTCTCTCCTCTCTCTCTGTGTGTGAGTGTCTCTCTGCTCTCTCCCTCTCTGTGTGTGTGTGAGTGTCTCTCTGCTCTCTCCCTCTCTGTGTGTGTGAGTGTCTCTCTGCTCTCTCCTCTCTCTGTGTGTGTGAGTGTCTCTCTGCTCTCTCCCTCTCTGGTGTGTGAGTGTCTCTCTGCTCTCTCTCTCTCTCTGTGTGTGTGAGTGTCTCTGCTCTCTCCCTCTCTGGTGTGTGAGTGTCTCTCTGCTCTCTCTCTCCCTCTGCTCTCTTTACACTCTCTGCTCTCTCTCCTCTCTCCTCTCTCTCTGCTTATCCGCACTCTCTCTGGTCCCTCTCTCTGCTCCTTCTGTCTGTTCTCTCTCTCTTTGGTCTCTCTCTCTGCTCTCTTTCTCTCTCTGCTCTCTCTCTGTTCTTTCTGCCTTCTCTTTCTCTCTACTCGCTCTCTCTACTCACTCTCTCCCTGCTCTCTCTCTCTCACGCTCTCTGCTCTCTTTCTGCCTTCTCTCTCTACTCGCTCTCTCTCCGCTCTCTCACTCTCTCTGCTCTTTCTGCCTTCTCTCTCTCTCCGCTCTCTCTCTCTCTCTCTCTCTCTCTCTCTCTCTCTCTCTCTCTCTCTCTCTCGGTTCTATAAATACGTATCTAAATCTAAACTACAGTGTGTGAGATCTTTATTCCTGACACATGTTTTATCATCGCGGCTTGTTACCGACGGCAACCCAAACGTCACAACAGCCTCCGACGCCGGGTTAGATCTACGGAGAGGCTATTTTTAAACCGCTGCATTCATTCTGACTGACACCGCGCGGCTGGAACAAGGAAAAGTCATCAGGAACTGGCAACCACAACACAGAGCCGTGATTGGACGAACACAGAGCCTCAGGAGAGCGTTTTAACAAAGATTCAGAAGAAAGAGAGACTTTGTTTCTCTACTTTTCCCCTTTATACAAACCATGAATCTATATAAATGTCTATACATGGTCCCTCTTATCTCTCTCTGGTCGGTCTCGCTCTCTCTCTCTCTCTCTCTTTCTCTCTCTGGTCTCTTTGGTCTCTCTCTGGTCTTTCTCTCTGGTCTCTCTCTGTTTCTCTGGTCTCTCTCTGGTCTCTCTCTGGTCTCTCTCTGCTCTCTTTCTCTCTGCTCTCTCTCTGCTCTCTTGTCTCTCTCTTGTCTCTTTCTCTGGTCTCTTTCTCTCTGCTCTCTCTCTGTTTCTCTGGTCTCTCTCTGTCTCTGGTCTCTTTGGTCTCTCTTCTCTCTGTCTCTGGTCTCTCTCTGGTCTCTCTCTCTCTGGTCTCTCTCTGCTCTCTCTCTGCTCTCTCTCTCTCTGTTGCTCTTGTCTCTCACTCTGGTCTCTCTCTCTCTGTTCTCTCTCTGGTCATAGTCCACATAAAACTCTGCTATGTTCCTGTGTACATTTCCCCCATAACTCACTATAATTGAATCCCCCCTCCCTTGCTCTCCTACCCTTATTCTCTCCCTTTCTCTCTCTCCCTCTCTGTCTCTCTCCCTCTCTCTCTCCCCCCCTCCTGTGTCTTTGCCTGTCATTGTGAAGAAGAAAGCTCTGTAACAGATTCAGGAGGTGGCAGCTGTAATAACTGTTTGTGTTTGTGTCACAGGAGCCGAGAGGAGCCTCCAGACCAGGAAGCATCCATCACCGTGAGTCCACCCTCCCTCACATGCAGCCTGCTCACTCTGGTCTCTTTCAGCGCTCTCTCTGGTCTCTTTATCTGGTCTCTCCCTTTGGTCTCTCTCTAGTCTCTCTCTGGTCTCTCTCTCTGGTCTCTCTCTCTGGTATCTCTCTGGTCTCTTTATCTGGTCTCTCTCACGTCTCTCTCTGGTCTCTCTCTGGTCTCTCTCTCTGGTATCTCTCTGGTCTCTTTATCTGGTCTCTCTCACGTCTCTCTCTGGTCTCTCTCTGGTCTCTCTCTAGTCTCGCTCTGGTCTCTCTCTGCTCTCTCTCTGCTCTTTCTCTCTGCTCTCTCTGCTCTCTCTCTCTGGTCTCTCTCTAGTTTCTCTCTGATCTCTCTCTGGTCTCTCTCTGGTCTCTCTCTCTGGTCTCTCTCTGCTCTCTCTCTCTCTGGTCTCTCTCTAGTTTCTCTCTGATCTCTCTCTGGTCTCTCTCTGGTCTCTCTCTCTGGTCTCTCTGCTCTCTCTCTCTGGTCTGTCTCTGCTCTCTCTCTGGTCTTTCTCTCTGCTCTCTCTGCCCTCTCTGCTCTCTCTCTGGTCTCTCTCTCTGCTCTCTCTCTCTTCTTTCTCTTCTCTCTCTGCCCTCTCTGCTCTCTCTCTCTGCTCTCTCTCTCTTCTTTCTCTTCTCTCTCTGCTCTCTCTGCTCTCTCTCTCCTGGCTCAGTTGATTCTAACTGTTTGTTGGGACAGAGGAGGCAGTGTGTCCTCGTGACGACTTCTGTTGAAACATTGTTTTTTATGAAATGCAATTATTTTGTGATAAAAGTCTGAGTTTTCTTGAGGTTCAGTTCCTGGTTTTTCAGTCACTGACAAAAAACTATGGCTTTCAACGGTTTGCAAGTTACTGCACACATGTTACTCTCTCTCTGGTCTCACTCTAGTCTCTGGTCTCTCGTTTTAGTCCCTCTCTTCTCTCTCTCTAGTCTTTCTCTGGTCTCTCTCTGCATTCTCATTTTGCTCTCCCTCTCTCTCTTGTTTCTCTCTGGGTGCTCTCCGTATTCTCTCTCTCTCTCTGTAGTCCCTCTGCTCTCCCTGCTCTCTCTTTCTCTCTCTGCTCTCCTTCTCCCCCCTCTCTCTATGCTCTCTCCTCTCTCTCTACCCGCTCTCTCTTCTCTCCTCTCTCCCTGCTCTCTCTCCCTGCTCTCTCTCTCTCTCTCTCTGTAGTCCCTCTGCTCTCCCTGCTCTCTCTCTCTCTGCTTTCCTTCTCCCTCCTCTCTCTATGCTCTCTCCTCCTCCTCCTCCCCTCGCCCTCTTCTCTCTCTCCCTCTCCTCCTCCTCCCCTCGCCCTCTTCTCTCTCCCTCTCCTCCCTCCTCTCTCTCCCTCTTCTCTCTCTCCCTCCCTCCTCCTCTCTCTCCCTCTTCTCTCTCTCCCTCTCTTCCTCCTCTCTCTCCCTCTCCTCCTCCTCCTCTCTCCCTCTTCTCTCTCTACCTCTTCTCTCTCTCCCTCTCCCCCCCTCCTCTCTCTCCCTCTTCTCTCTCTCCCTCTCCTCCTCCTCCTCCTCTCTCTCCCTCTTCTCTCTCTCCCTCTCCCCTCTCCCCCTCCTCTCTCTCCCTCTTCTCTCTCTCCCTCTCCTCCTCCTCCTCTCTCCCCCTCTTCTCTCTCTCCCTCTCCCCCCTCCTCTCTCTCCCTCTTCTCTCTCTCCCTCTCCCCCTCCTCTCTCCCTCTTCTCTCTCTCCCTCTCCCCCCTCCTCTCTCTACCTCTTCTCTCTCTCCCTCTCCCCCCTCCTCTCTCTCCTCCCCTCTCCCCCCTCCTCCCTCTTCTCTCTCTCCCTCTCCCCCCTCCTCTCTCTCCCTCTCCTCCTCCTCCTCTCTCTCTCCCTCTTCTCTCTCTCCCTCTCCCCCCTCCTCTCTCTCCTCCTCCTCTCCCCCCCTCCCCTCCTCCTCCTCCCCTCGCCCTGGTCCTCTGCAGTACTCTGTCTCGTTGCCAGGTCCTCCTCATCCATAATCAAAGCTGTCCGAGCCTCTTTGAGCACATCACTTATGACCTAAAGTTATTCCAGCTTTAATCTCGTGTAGTGCTCTCTCTCTCTGTGGATCTCGCCTCGTCAGCTCGGTGCCGGTTGCGAGTGTGATTCCTGGTCTGTTCTGAAGGCTCTTTTCTCTCCCCCTCCACTCGCATTAGCGGCGAGTTCTGCTGACGGAAATATTTGTGTAATGTGCGTTTTATGGTCCGTCGCCCTGGTGCTGTCTCCTAATGCTGTTATTGCTGAAGCTGTGGACGTGTGGCTCAGCGGCGCCTGGAGGAAACCCACAAAGAACTCTTCAGGATTTACTATAAGCCGTCAGACACTTCCTGTTTGGTTTAACGTACGATAATTACAAGTACAGCTAGCATACTGTATATACTGTACATACTGTACATACTGTACATACTGTATAAACTGTACATACTGTACATTCTGAGAGAGAGACCATATAAAGACCATATGTCCAGTGTCTCTGGAAAGTACTACTCTAGCCTCTCTGGTCTCTCTTGTAACTCTCTCTGATCACTCTCTGGTCTCGCTCTTGTATCTCTCTCTGGTCTCTCTCTGGTTTCTCTCTGGTCTCTCTCTGGTCTCTCTCTGGTTTCTCTCTGGTCTCTCTCTGGTCTTTCTCTCTGGTCTCTCTCTCTGGTCTCTCTCTCTGGTCTCTCTCTGGTTTCTCTCTGGTTTCTCTCTGGTTTCTCTTTCCTCTCTCTTCCTTGTTACATACATTGTCTACAAAGACACACGCACACACACACGCACACACACACACACACACACACTAAACAGTGTCTGTCTGAGAATCACCTGCTTTAATAATGTCATACATCAGGTTTGGCCTTTAGCTCACGGCTCGTTAGCATCGAACTCCTGCAGCGAATCCACAACCATCACCAAAATCAATGTCAGAGACCAGGGAAAGACCAGGGAGAGACCAGGGAGAGACCAGGGAGTGACCAGAGAGAGACCAGGGAGTGACCAGAGAGAGACCAGGGAGAGACCAGAGAGAGACCAGGGAGAGACCAGGGAGAGACCAGAGAGAGACCAGAGAGAGACCAGGGAGTGACCAGAGAGAGACCAGGGAGTGACCAGAGAGAGACCAGGGAGAGACCAGAGAGAGACCAGAGAGAGACCAGGGAGAGACCAGAGAGAGACCAGAGAGAGACCAGGGAGAGACCAGGGAGAGACCAGAGAGAGACCAGAGAGAGACCAGGGAGAGACCAGAGAGAGACCAGAGAGAGACCAGAGAGAGACCAGAGAAAGACCAGAGAGAGACCAGAGAGAGACCAGGGAGAGACCAGGGAGAGACCAGAGAGAGACCAGGGAAAGACCAGGGAGAGACCAGGGAGAGACCAGAGAGAGACCAGGGAGTGACCAGAGAGAGACCAGGGAGTGACCAGAGAGAGACCAGGGAGAGACCAGGGAGAGACCAGGGAGAGACCAGAGAGAGACCAGAGAGAGACCAGGGAGAGACCAGAGAGAGACCAGGGAGAGACCAGGGAGAGACCAGAGAGAGACCAGAGAGAGACCAGGGAGAGACCAGGGAGAGACCAGGGAGACCAGAGAGACCAGAGAGAGACCAGGAGAGACCAGGGAGAGACCAGGGAGAGACCAGAGAGAGACCAGGGAGAGACCAGGGAGAGACCAGAGAGAGACCAGAGAGAGACCAGAGAGAGACCAGAGAGAGACCAGAGAGAGACCAGAGAAAGACCAGAGAGAGGACCAGAGAGAGACCAGGGAGAGACCAGGGAGAGACCAGAGAGAGACCAGGGAAAGACCAGGGAGAGACCAGAGAGAGACCAGAGAGAGACCAGGGAGAGACCAGGGAGAGACCAGGGAGAGACCAGGGAGAGACCAGAGAGAGACCAGAGAGAGACCAGAGAGAGACCAGGGAGAGACCAGGGAGAGACCAGGGAGAGACCAGGGAGAGACCAGAGAGAGACCAGAGAGAGACCAGAGAGAGACCAGGGAGAGACCAGGGAGAGACCAGGGAGAGACCAGAGAGAGACCAGAGAGAGACCAGGGAGAGACCAGAGAGAGACCAGAGAGAGACCAGAGAGAGACCAGGGAGAGACCAGGGAGAGACCAGAGAGAGACCAGAGAGAGACCAGGGAGAGACCAGAGAGAGACCAGGGAGAGACCAGAGAGAGACATGTCTGTAAATGTATCAAAACAGAGAATCAAACTCTGTGCCTATCTGTCCTTCTAAACATTTCTCCCTCATAAATCTCAGAACTGTCTCCACACTCCACAGATGCCCTTCTCCCCCCTGTCCTTACCCCCTGTCCTCCCGCTCTCTCCCCCTCTCTCCCCCTCTCTCCCTGCTGTCCACAAAGCAGGCTGCAGGCTTAAGCCGGATCGCTGCTCCGTCACAGAGGACGGCTTTATGAGCTCAGAACAAAAATGATTGTTTTCCAATTCAGATGATTCGCCTCTGAGTCTGAGGTCTGTTGGAGACACAGAAATATACTGTACCACAGGCTGTATACAGATGCTACATGCTAACACAGGCTGTATACAGATGCTACATGCTAACACAGGCTGTATACAGATGCTACATGCTAACACAGGCTGTATACAGATGCTACATGCTAACACAGACTGTAAACAGATGGACAATGCTAAACTGCTAGTTCAATGAAAACCAATAGGGTATGATCTCATTGTAAATTTTGGCACCAGAGAGAGACCAGAGAGAGACCAGAGAGAGACCAGAGAGAGACCAGAGAGAGACCAGAGAGAGACCAGAGAGAGACCAGAGAGAGACCGGAGAGAGACCGGAGAGAGACCAGAGAGAGACCAGAGAGAGACCAGAGAGAGACCAGAGAGAGACCAGAGAGAGACCAGAGAGAGACCAGAGAGAGACCAGAGAGAGACCAGAGAGAGACCAGAGAGAGACCAAAGAAAGACTGAATATTGTGATATCAAACCACAGATTATTCTTTTGCAGTGAAATGTTAAATTGTGTGACATCAATCTCCTGGGATGGATCTCAATATCTTGATCCGCTGTCGGCTCCTCTTTCACTGAACGCTCTCTTAATAAACTAAAGGGTGGTGGCAGAGTGGTTAACACCCTGTCAGTCAGAGTGAAGCCTCCTCCACACTCGCTCCTGTTGTAAAGTCGACAGTGGAATAAGAAGACATTTATTTGTCTTTTCAGAAAAACAGAGAGAGACTGGAGAGAGACTGGAGAGAGACCAGAGAGAGAGACCAGAGAGAGACTGGAGAGAGACCAGAGAGAGAGACCAGAGAGAGACTGGAGAGAGACCAGAGAGAGAGACCAGAGAGAGACCGGACAGAGACCGGAGAGAGACCGGAGAGAGACCAGAGAGAGACCAGAGAGAGACCAGAAAGAGACCAGAGAGAGACCAGAGAGAGACCAGAGAGAGACCAGAGAGAGACCAGAGAGAGACCAGAGAGAGACCAGAGAGAGACCAGAGAGAGACTAGAGAGAGAGACTAGAGAGAGAGACCAGAGAGAGACCAGAGAGAGACTAGAGAGAGACCAGAGAAAGACTAGAGGGGGGACCAGAGAGAGACCAGAGAGAGACCAGAGAGAGACCAGAGAGAGACTAGAGGGAGAGACTAGAGAGAGAGACCAGAGAGAGATCAGAGAAAGACTAGAGGGAGGGACCAGAGAGAGAGCTAGAGGGAGGGACCAGAGAGAGAGCTAGACCAGAGAGATACCATTGACAGACTAGGGAAAGATCAGATAGAGAGAGACCAGTATGAGACTAAGAGATATGAGAGATCAAAGAGAGACCACAAAGAGACGTGATGTGACAGAGACATGTGGGAACATAATGTTTGTGAAGAAATAAATAACTGTAATTTATAAAACCAAACACTGATGGTTTTATCCTCAGTGTCTCTCACAGATATGTCATTTCTGGTTCACTAATAGTTTCTGGATCCTCGGGTCACTGAGGTCTGTGTCTGTGATGATTACAGACGACCTCTGACCTCTGCTCGCTTCTAATTCTCCAAATATTCAGTCTTTGTGTCGCCCTCTGCTCTCACTGCAAAAACACAAGATATAAGTGTTTATAGTCTCTGATCTCTCTTTTGTCTCTCTCTCTGGTCTCTCCCTGGTCTCTCTCTTTGGTCTCTCTCTCTGGTCTCTCCCTGGTCTCTCTCTTTGGTCTCTCTCTCTGGTCTCTCCCTGGTCTCTCTCTCTGGTCTCTCTCTGGTCTCTCTCTGGTCTCTCTCCGGTCTCTCTCTCTCTGGTCTCTCTCTCTGGTCTCTCTCTGGTCTATTACTGGTCCTATGGTACCAGAGAGACAAGACTAGACAGAGTCTCTCTGGTTCCTCTGGTATCTCTTTTCATTCTCTCCCTGCTTTCTCTTTCTCGCTCTCTCTCTTCTATTCTTTCTCTCTGCTCTCTCTCTTTCTCACTCTCTCTCTTCTCTCTCTCTACTCTTTCTCCCTGCTCTCTCTGCTCTCGCTCTCTCTGCTCTCCCTTTCCGTCTGCTCTCTCCATCTGCTCTCTCTTCTCTCTCCCTGCTCTCTCTTCTCCCTCTCTATCTCTCTTCTCCCTCTCCCTCTCTCACACTTGTTTCACCCTGCATTTATTTCTTAAGATATTTTTCCCGATTCTAAAACCCGACAAATTAAATAGTCTCATTATCTCATTACTTGCCACAAAGGTAATCCATAACATTTCTCCTTTAGCTTAGAGAGAAGAGCAGGATCTCTCCTCCCCCCTCTCTCCCCTCTCCCTCTCTCCCCCCCTCCCTCCCCTCAGCCTCTCACCTGGGAGTCCATCTCCAATATCCCAGCGCTATTTGCACAGAATGCTCCATTGAGAAGAGCTGGTTCTGTCTGAAGCAGATTGTCTCTCTGTGATAACAGCCACAGGACCAGTTCAATATGAGGACTATGAAGCACTATACAACAGTCCACATGGTCTCTCTATTCTCTCTCTGGTCTCTATCTGCTTTCTCTGTGGTCTCTCTCTCTGGTCTCTCTCTGGCCTCTCTCTGGCCTCTCTCTGGTCTTTCCCTGGTCTCTCTCTCTTTTCTCTGTCTTGTCTGTCTCTCTTTTCTCTCTCTGCTCTCTCTCCAGTCCTTCTGTGGTCTCCCCTGGTCCCTCTTTGGTCTCTCTCTGGTCTCTCTCTCTGATCTCTCTCTCTGGTCTTTCACTGGTCTCTCTCTAGTCTCTCCCTGGTCCCTCTTTGGTCTTTCTCTGGTCTCTCGCTGGTCTTTCCTGGTCTCTCTCTGGTCTTCCTCTGGTCTCTCTCTGGTCTCTCGCTGGTCTCTCTCTGGTCTCTCCCTGGTCTCTCTCTGGTCTCTCTCTGGTCTCTCTCTGGTCTCTCTCTGGTCTCTCTCTGGTCTCTCTCTGGTCTTTCTCTGGTCTCTCTCTGGTCAGCCTCTGGTCTCTTTCTGGTCTCTTTCTGGTCTCTCTCTGATCCCAGAAGAATCTGTAACAAACTCTTTGAACCTGCTGTAAAGCCTTGTGGATGAGAGCGTAACCACGGCGACTGATGATATCTGGGTAATGGTCGGAAATGATAGTTTCTCTGAGAGACTTTGACCTCGTTCACTTCTGATTACACTCGCCTCCAAATTATACTCATAATCTTTTCATTAAACTGACAAATCAGCTCTTCATCCACAGACCAGAGAGAGACCAGAGACAGACCAGGGAGAGACCAGAGAGAGACCAGAGAGAGACCAGAGACAGACCAGAGAGAGACCAGAGAGAGACTAGAGAGAGACTAGAGAGAGACCAGAGAGAGACCAGAGAGAGACCAGGGAGAGACCTGAGAGACCAGAGAGAGACCAGAGAGAGACCAGGGAGAGACCAGGGAGAGACCAGAGAGAGACCAGAGAGAGACCAGAGAGAGACCAGAGAGAGACCAGAGAGAGACCAGAGAGAGACCAGAGAGAGACCAGGGAGAGACCAGTGAGAGACCAGTGAGAGACCAGGGAGAGACCAGGGAGAGACCAGAGAGACACCAGGGAGAGACCAGGGAGAGACCAGAGAGACACCAGAGAGAGACCAGAGAGAGACCAGAGAGAGACCAGAGAGAGACCAGAGAGAGACCAGAGAGAGACCAGAGAGAGACCAGGGAGAGACCAGGGAGAGACCAGGGAGAGACCAGGGAGAGACCTGAGAGACCAGAGACAGACCAGGGAGAGACCAGAGACAGACCAGGGAGAGACCAGAGACAGACAAGAGAGAGACCAGAGAGATACCAGAGAGATACCAGAGAGATACCAGAGAGAGACCAGAGAGAGACCAGAGAGAGACCAGGGAGAGACCAGGGAGAGACCAGGGAGAGACCAGGGAGAGACCAGGGAGAGACCAGAGAGAGACCAGAGAGAGACCAGAGAGAGACCAGAGAGAGACCAGAGAGAGACCAGAGAGAGACCAGAGAGAGACCAGGGAGAGACCAGGGAGAGACCAGGGAGAGACCAGGGAGAGACCAGAGAGAGACCAGAGACAGACCAGGGAGAGACCAGAGAGAGACCAGAGAGAGACCAGAGAGAGACCAGAGAGAGACCAGAGAGAGACCAGGGAGAGACCAGGGAGAGACCAGAGAGAGACCAGGGAGAGACCAGGGAGAGACCAGGGAGAGACCAGGGAGAGACCAGGGAGAGACCAGGGAGAGACCAGAGAGAGACCAGAGAGAGACCAGAGACAGACCAGGGAGAGACCAGAGAGAGACCAGGGAGAGACAAGGGAGATACCAGAGAGAGATCAGAGAGAGACCAGAGAGAGACCAGAGAGAGACCAGAGAGAGACCAGAGAGAGACCAGAGAGAGACCAGAGAGAGACCAGAGAGAGACCAGAGAGAGACCAGAGAGAGACCAGGGAGAGACCAGGGAGAGACCAGGGAGAGACCTGAGAGACCAGAGACAGACCAGGGAGAGACCAGAGACAGACCAGGGAGAGACCAGAGACAGACAAGAGAGAGACCAGAGAGATACCAGAGAGATACCAGAGAGATACCAGAGAGAGACCAGGGAGAGACCAGGGAGAGACCAGGGAGAGACCAGGGAGAGACGAGACTGAGGCTGTAGACCCAGGACTGAGGCTGTAGATCCAGGACTGAGGCTGTAGACCCAGGACAGAGGCTGTAGACCCAGGACTGAGGCTGTAGATCCAGGACTGAGGCTGTAGACCAGGACTGAGTCTGTAGACCTGGACTGAGTCTGTATAGATCCCTGTCTCTCTGTTGGAGGAGGCAGAAGCACAGTCTGCATTTCTCTTTCCTTTCTCTTTAGTGAAATGTTTTCGTTCTCGTTGTGGTCAAGATAAGAGCCGTCTCTGGTTTGTTCGGAGCCGTCTTCATTCTACATTCTTCACCGTCGCGCTCGAAAACACCTGCTTTAAAGATGTTAGTTCCAGATATTTTTCCAGTTACTGATGTATCCTGATAATAATCCCAGTGTTCAAGGTATAGAAGGATTTTCTACTCTCGGGTGGATCATCAAAATTATTCTTGGGTTTCATTAAACTGGCCTGTGGGGGCGCATGAGCAGAGGTGGGATTCTGATTCTGATTAATCAGGGACACTCAATTCTAAGAGAGTTCTAAAGAATATTTCTCAAAAGAGTCTTGATTTTGGGCATTTTTGGAAAGAAAAACAGGATAAATTGCTGTGTTTCATTGGGGTGGCCTGCAGGGGGCACTTATCTGGGAAAGCCTTGATCCACCTCGCCCGCCTCATTCCAGTGATTTTTTCAAAGTGTCCTCCTTTATATGAGACCACAGTTGGAACATAAACAAACTCTTGACTTTCTCTCTATTTGTGCGGTTGCTACAAGCGTTCACCGCACAAAAAGATGGCATTTTGACAGCGCTTCTTCTTCTACTATATCTCCGTGTATAAACCACTTCTTCTTCTACTATATCTCCATTTATAAACCACATCTCCGTGTATAAACCCGGCAGACTGCACCGCCAGGATATGTCACGTCCTGTCCTACGTTTGTTATTCACTGCCCTGACGTCATATGAAACGCAAGAATAGGTCCCTCCCAGCTGTCAATCATTCTGGTGCTCATCCAATAAGACCAGAGAGTTTTGTTCAAACAGTGGAGAGGGCGGTTCTTTCCTGTAACAGAGTAAGGTTATAAAAGATGAAAAGACAAATCATTTTATTTCACATGTCATTATTATAGAGAATTGATAGAACATCTTTTACACATTAAACTCAGAAGTTTTAACGTGGAGCTTGTGGACCGGGCTTTTACTGTTATTACTAGTTTATTACTAGTTTATTACTAGTTTAATACTAGTTTATTACTAGTTTAATACTAGTTTGTTACTAGTTTAATACTAGTTTATTACTAGTTTGTTACTAGTTTGTTACTAGTTTAATACTAGTTTAATACTAGTTTGTTACTAGTTTATTACTAGTTTATTACTAGTTTGTTACTAGTTAATTACTAGTTAATTACTAGTTTGTTACCAGTTTATTACTAGTTTAATACTAGTATAGTACTAGTTTATTACTAGTTTAATACTAGTTTAATACAAGTTTAATACTAGTATAGTACTAGTTTATTACTAGTTTAATACTAGTTTATTACTAGTTTAATACTAGTTTAATACTAGTTTAATACTAGTTTGTTACTAGTTTGTTACTAGTTTGTCACTAGTTTAGTACTACTTTAGTACTAGTTTAGTACTAGTTTAGTACTAGTTTGTTACTAGTTTGTTACTAGTTTGTTACTAGTTTGTTACTAGTTTAGTACTAGTTTAGTACTAGTTTAATACTAGTTTGTTACTAGTTTGTTACTAGTTTGTCACTAGTTTGTCACTAGTTTAGTACTAGTTTAGTACTAGTTTTGGTAATAGTTTGTTACTAGTTTGTTACTAGTTTGTTACTAGTTTGTTACTAGTTTGTTACTAGTTTGTTACTAGTTTGTTACTAGTTTGTTACTAGTTTGTTACTAGTTTGTTACTAGTTTAGTACTAGTTTAATACTAGTTTGTTACTAGTTTGTTACTAGTTTGTCACTAGTTTAGTACTAGTTTAGTACTAGTTTAGTAATAGTTTGTTACTAGTTTGTTACTAGTTTGTTACTAGTTTGTTACTAGTTTGTTACTAGTTTAGTACTAGTTTAATACTAGTTTGTTACTAGTTTGTTACTAGTTTGTCACTAGTTTAGTACTAGTTTAGTACTAGTTTAGTAATAGTTTGTTACTAGTTTGTTACTAGTTTAATACTAGTTTGTTACTAGTTTGTTACTAGTTTAGTACTAGTTTAATACTAGTTTGTTACTAGTTTGTTACTAGTTTGTCACTAGTTTAGTACTAGTTTAGTACTAGTTTAGTAATAGTTTGTTACTAGTTTGTTCCTAGTTTGTTACTAGTTTGTTACTAGTTTGTTACTAGTTTGTTACTAGTTTGTTACTAGTTTGTTACTAGTTTGTTACTAGTTTAGTACTAGTTTAATACTAGTTTGTTACTAGTTTGTTACTAGTTTGTCACTAGTTTAGTACTAGTTTAGTACTAGTTTAGTAATAGTTTGTTACTAGTTTGTTACTAGTTTAATACTAGTTTATTACAAGTTTATTGAGCTTGTAGTAAACCCACCTGGTATCAGAGACTGTATCTGACCAGTTTTCCTTGTGTCAGATGTTTATATCTGGTTATTTTAACTTTTTATGAGTATTTGTAAATGTTTATCACAGCGACACAAAATAAAAAATAAATAGTTTTAGAGTCGAGGGGTGTCACGTAAGAGAAGTGAACCTCATGGTTATTGGTCTCTCTCTGGTCTCTCTCTCTGATCTCGCTCTCTCTGGTCTCTCTCTCTAGTCTATCTCTCTCTGGTCTCTCTCTCTGGTCTCTCTCTCTCTGGTCTCGCTCTCTCTGGTCTCTCTCTTGCTGGCCTGTCTCTCTGGCCTCTCTCTCTCTGGCTTCTCTCTCTCTGGTCTCTCTCTCTCTGGCTTCTCTCTCTCTGGTCTCTCTCTGAGAGACCCCCCTCCTCCCTTCGCTCCACACAGTCAGTCGGTGCGATAACTGTTATTTATAGCCGCGTGGGAAGCGTCTGGGGAGAGTGTGAACGGCATAGTAAACAGCTGCAGGTTTGATCCCTGTTTGGGTAATTGCTTCACTTTGTTGTTTGACACAAGGCCCTTCCCCTCGAGGGCGAGGGTGAGGGACTTCAGAGTCTGACCCTGGATTAAGACCTGGATTAAGACCCGGGTTTAGACCGAGATCCTGAGTGTGTTTCATTTACTCTTCGGCAAAAGTGAAAACGACCAGAGACTCGATTAATGCAGTTGATTAAGTGGCACAAATACTTCTGTAGACCCAGGACTGAGGCTGTAGACCCAGGACTGAGGCTGTAGACCCAGGACCGAGCCTATAGACCCAGGACTGAGGCTGTAGACCCAGGACTGAGGCTGTAGACCCAGGACTGAGGCTGTAGATCCAGGACTGAGGCTGTAGATCCAGGACTGAGGCTGTAGATCCAGGACTGAGGCTGTAGACCCCAGGACTGAGGCTGTAGACCCAGGACCGAGCCTATAGACCCAGGACTGAGGCTGTAGACCCAGGACTGAGGCTGTAGACCCAGGACTGAGGCTGTAGACCCAGGACTGAGGCTGTAGACCCAGGACTGAGGCTGTAGACCCAGGACTGAGGCTGTAGACCCAGGACTGAGACTGTAGACCAGGGGTCACCAACGCGGTGCCCGCGGGCACCAGGTTGCCCGCAAGGACCAGATGAGTCGCCCGCTGGCCTGTTCTAAAAATAGCTCAAATGGCAGCACTTACCAGTGCTATTCTTGTTTAAATCATACTTACATGCAACTTACAAATGGCATATAAACTAGAGCCGGGACTTTAACAAGTTAATAAAGATTAATTAATTACACACAAAAAAGCGCGTTAAAAAAATTACGCATTTTAATCGTATGTATTTTTGCACCGTGGAACGTTCCTCACTGAATAAGTTTCAGACGGACCAATTGAACTGACGCACCAACCGGAGCTCCGTGACTTTTCTTGTTCAAAAGTACATTATTACAAGCAGAGACCAACTTTAAATTCAAGTAAATTAGACGGGAATGAGCGCTGTGTATGGAGCGATGGACTCTGTGTGTGAGGAGGAGGAGCAGTGACTCCTGTGTGAGCGGAGGAGGAGGAGAAGGAGAAGGAGGAGCGAGACACAGGTGTGTGAGCTGCTAATGCTGATGTTTACTCCGAATGCACACATCAAAAACGTATTATAAAAGCTTTAGCAAACAGCGCATGCCCAGCTTTAGTGCTCACAGCGTGTGCAGTGGATTTTGGGCTTAAAAAGAGTATGTTGTCGTCAGTGTGAGGAGGAGGAGGAGGAGGAGCATATGTTGTCGTCAGTGTGAGGAGGAGGAGGAGCATATGTTGTCGTCAGAGTGTGGAGGCAATGACAGAAACGTTATTTGATGTTTAGAAGTTATCCCTTAAACTCCATATTAACATGTGTTGCTTAAGCCTCATGTATTCAGTCATTATTCAATGGTAAACTAAAAATCCATGTGAAAAAAATTACTTCTCACTGTTCTAAGGTCAAATATTTATATGTGATTAAAATGTGATTAATCGCGATTAAATGGGACTGTCTTAGAAGTGATCATTTGTTAAATTTGAAAAATGTGCACTTAGAGAAAATATAAAAGTTTTTCCACAAAATAAATATCATTAATTATTAGTAAAAATATAGAATTAAAGGTAAATTGAGCAAATTGGCCATATCTGGCAATTTATTTAAGTGTGTAACAAACTGGTAGCCCTTCGCATTAATCAGTACCCAAGAAGTAGCGCTTGGTTTCAAAAAGGTTGGTGACCCCTGCTGTAGACCCAGGACTGGTGATTGTTATTGTTCCATTTCTCTGCTGTGATTGTTTTTCCTTCGTGATCTTCTCAAACTTCCACAAAATGCATCACATGTCACTCTCTGGACCTGATTCTTTGGCTTCGATGAGAACTTTCACTGTTGCTTCTGGAAACAAGGATCTGATCAAAGGAAACATTAGAACCGGGTCTCGAGGGAAAGAATAAATCCTTTCTATATTTATTTTCCGAGTCTAATCGATCGTTTATTTTGAAAACTGAGCGGATTGTCTCCTCACGTCTCTGTCACGTGACACAGTAGCTCTGGGATGTGAACAAACAACCCTCCACCGCTCGCTCTGTAGAGGCTGTAATGGAGATTTACAAACGCAGTGGAAAGAAACGAGGAGAGAAACGATGAGGCGTTTGTGCGGAGACAAGAGCAGGACCCACGAGGACCAGACTCAGGACCAAGACTGGGCCCCTTGGACACGGGCACAGCTGCAGAGCCAGAGCTAGGCTAATGCTAAGCTTCACCACGGCGTCGCGTCCTGCCGAAGTCCTGAAACCCTAAACTCTAAAAGTATCAAGTTTTCATGTGTTTTCAAATAGTAATGGAATTGACCAGATTCCTATAGTCTCCAAAAAGGTATACACAATGTTTTGGAGCAGACAGATAAAAATAAACCAATGGGATTCGTTCATTTCCAACGAACCAATGGGATGTGTTTACCCCCTTCACCCACTTCCTGTTTCTCATGAGTGCATCTCAGTTGTCGAATTTTCTAAAACCTGAAATGGCTGAACAGAAAATGCCAATTTCACGTTTGCTCCACTCTCCCTGTTAGAGAAAGAAAAGAGAATGCTGGATGTTTGGTTTGTTGGAGAGGGAGTGGAGGGGGGAGTGGTTTGTTGGAGAGGGAGTGGAGGGGGGAGTGGTTTCCAGTCGGTTCTGCGGCTAAGCTAAAAAAAACGCTTACTGCACCTTTAAAGCTGCACTAACTGACTTTATTTTGTATTCATTAGTAAAAGTGTATCCATGTCCATGCAGTGCAGTGGGATATACGAAAGAAAAAGTAGCACAGATAAGATAAGATGTGCTTTATTTATCTCACATAGGAGAAATGTACATGTCACATTTGGCATGGATAGAGACACTCAGATTGTGCAAAAGGAGGAAATGTGCAAACATGTTACATGCAGGATATATGTACAATAAAAGTGACAAGTGACAAGTGTCAATTGGAAACAGTGTCAATAGTAGTGCAGGTTTTCACACAGTGATCATTTAAAGTGACTTATTGTACAGTCTGACAGTGGTGGGGATAAAGGCCCTGCGGTAGGGTGTCTCAGTCTTCCACTGAAGGAGCTCCTCAGCTCCTCTACAGTCCTGTGCAGTGGGTGGTATTGTTCATGATGGAGGTGGCTTTGGCTAGCACCCTCCTGTCCCTCACCTCCTCCACAGAGTCCAGGGGCCTCCTGTCCCTCACCTCCTCCACAGAGTCCAGGGGCCTCCTGTCCCTCACCTCCTCCACAGAGTCCAGGGGCCTCCTGTCCCTCACCTCCTCCACAGAGTCCAGGGGCCTCCTGTCCCTCACCTCCTCCACAGAGTCCAGGGGCCTCCTGTCCCTCACCTCCTCCACAGAGTCCAGGGGCCTCCTGTCCCTCACCTCCTCCACAGAGTCCAGGGGCCTCCTGTCCCTCACCTCCTCCACAGAGTCCAGGGGCCTCCTGTCCCTCACCTCCTCCACAGAGTCCAGGGGCCTCCTGTCCCTCACCTCCTCCACAGAGTCCAGGGGCCTCCTGTCCCTCACCTCCTCCACAGAGTCCAGGGGCCTCCTGTCCCTCACCTCCTCCACAGAGTCCAGGGGCCTCCTGTCCCTCACCTCCTCCACAGAGTCCAGGGGCCTCCTGTCCCTCACCTCCTCCACAGAGTCCAGGGGCCTCCTGTTCCTCACCTCCTCCACAGAGTCCAGGGGCCTCCTGTCCCTCACCTCCTCCACAGAGTCCAGGGGCCTCCTGTCCCTCACCTCCTCCACAGAGTCCAGGGGCCTCCTGTCCCTCACCTCCTCCACAGAGTCCAGGGGCCTCCTGTCCCTCACCTCCTCCTGACCAGCTTGTTCAGTCTGTTTCTGTCCCGCTCTGTGCTGCCCGGGGCCCAGCACACGGCAGCGTAGTAAATGGCAGAAGCTACCACAGAGTCATAAAAAGTCCTGAGCAGAGGCCTGCTCACTCAGAAGGACCTCAGCCTCCCCAGAAGGACCTCAGTCTCCTCAGAAGGACCTCAGCCTCCTCAGAAGGACCTCAGCCTCCTCAGAAGGATGAGGCGACTTTGGCCCTTCTTGTACAGGGCGTTTGTATTATGGGACCAGTCCAGTTTATTGTTAATGTGAACACCCAGGTACTTGAAGCTGTCCACCAGCTCAATGTCCTCCCCCTGGATGTTCAGCAGCGTGTGGGAAAGTGGTTTTCTCCTGAAGTCGATGACCATCTCCTTGATCTTACTGGTGTTCAAGCACAAGTGGTTGCGCTCACACCAGTCGACAAAGTCCTTGATAACCGACCGATATTCCAGTTCGTTCCCCTCAGACACACAGCCCACGATGGCGGAGTCGTCGGAGAACTTCTGCAGGTGACAGCTGTGTGTGTCGTGTGTGAAGTCTGAGGTGTAGATGGTGAAGAGGTGTAGATTTGTGCTGGCGTAACGTTATATTTTAGAAACAAGGAAGAGATGTGTTTTGGGTCTCAGATTGTGACCAATCACAGCGGACCACTAGCCCCCGCTTTCGTGAGAAATCTACAGGTCCGTTAGCACAGACGGCTGAGTTAGCACAGACGGCTGAGTTAGCACAACAAGTGGCGGAGCTAACCTGAAGCTTCCTCGTCTGCGTCACCGGTTACTGCTTACACAGCGAGACAGCCAAAAGAAAGTCCCGTTCCTCCGTGCTTCCCGGTTCTATCGTTCTATGGTCACGCCATCCACGTGCAAATCCATGTCAATGTATTATCCATATTGGGAGACGCTAGCTCCGTCAACAACAGTGGGTGTGTGTGGGTGGTGATAGCTTCGTGGGTGCGGGGAGGGGAGCAGAAAGAGAGAGGCCAGCGAGTCTGCTGCTTCAAAATCCCAAAGTCAGTTAGTGCAGATTTAACTGTTTTAACAAACTGTATCTTTAACAAACTCTAAATAATGGAGTCGTTCCATCTGTAAAATGTACTGTTGTCCACATGGTGTCTACTTCTGGTTCAGCATCAGCGGCTTCTACCAGAAAGGAACAACACTTGTACCATTGGAGCAGATTCGTTCTTATAGAAACAGGAAAAACACACATTTCTGCTGCAGCAAAAACACAGACGATAAAATCTGAAGGTCACTCTGTAGTGATGTCGCACACAAAAGATTTTAGTTCATGTCTGTGGAGAGAGAGACCAGGGAGAGACCAGGGAGAGACCAGGGAGAGACCAGAGAGACACCAGAGAGACACCAGAGAGACACCAGAGAGACACCAGAGAGACACCAGAGAGACACCAGAGAGACACCAGAGAGACACCAGAGAGACACCAGAGAGACACCAGAGAGAGACCAGAGAGAGACCAGAGAGAGACCAGAGAGAGACCAGAGAGAGACCAGAGAGAGACCAGAGAGAGACCAGAGAGAGACCAGAGAGAGACCAGAGAGAGACCAGAGAGAGACCAGAGAGAGACCAGAGAGAGACCAGAGAGAGACCAGAGAGAGACCAGAGACCAGGGAGAGACCAGGGAGAGACCAGGGAGAGACCAGGGAGAGACCAGGGAGAGACCAGGGAGAGACTAAAGAGAGACCAGAGAGAGACTAAAGAGAGTCCAGAGAGAGACTAAAGAGAGTCCAGAGAGAGACTAAAGAGAGTCCAGAGAGAGACTAAAGAGAGTCCAGAGAGAGACTAAAGAGAGACTAAAGAGAGACTAAAGAGAGACTAAAGAGAGTCCAGAGAGAGACTAAAGAGAGTCCAGAGAGAGACTAAAGAGAGACTAAAGAGAGTCCAGAGAGAGACTAAAGAGAGACTAAAGAGAGTCCAGAGAGAGACTAAAGAGAGACTAAAGAGAGTCCAGAGAGAGACTAAAGAGAGACTAAAGAGAGTCCAGAGAGAGACTAAAGAGAGACTAAAGAGAGTCCAGAGAGAGACTAAAGAGAGACTAAAGAGAGTCCAGAGAGAGACCAGAGAGAGACCAGAAAGGGAGGGACCAAAGAGACCATAGAGAGAGAGACCAAAGAGAGAAACCAGAGAGAGAGAGAGAGAGACCACAGGGCAAAGGTTATCCTGTAATAATGATCCTGGTGTGTCATGTTCTATGTCTGTATCCGACAAAAGCACTTCTTTAAAGGGTGGAGAAGGTTCCGGAACAGCGAGTCTGTGTATAAATACTTTGACCAAAGCGTGAACTCCCAAACTACTCTTTCTCTGTGTGTTTTTATTTCCGGCGGCAGTTTGATTTCCCTTCTGTAAGTGGGTCACGGAGGCACCACACTGTGACGCTCAGACCTGGGACAAGTTCACCTCCACACAACACACTCTGCCGGGGAGAGAAAGGAGAGGGAGAGAGGGAGGGAGAGAGGGGGGGGAGAGAGAGGGAGAGGGGAGAGAGAGAGAGAGGGAGGGAGAGAGGGGGGGGGGGAGGGGAGAAGTTCACCTCCACACAACATACTGGATCATACTACTGCACCGGGGTCAGGGGGAGAGAGGAGAGGAGAGAGAGAGAGAGAGAGAGGGAGAGAGGGGGGAAGAGAGGGGGGGGGGGGGGGAGGGGGGGGGAGAGAAGTTCACCTCCACACACAACACACTCTGCCGGGGTCAGGGGGAGAGAGGGAGAGGGAGAGGAGAGGGGGAGAGAGGGAGAAAGGGGGGGGGGGGGGGGGGGGGGAGTTCACCTCCACACAACATACTGTGCCGGGGTCAGGGGGGGAGAGGGAGGAGAGGGGAGGGAGAGAGAGAGAGGAAGAGAGCAGAGACCAGGGAGAGAGCAGAGAGAGAGGAGAGGAGAAAGATAGAGAGACGACAGAGCAGAGAGAGAGAGAGAGAGAGAGGGGAGAGAGCAGAGATGGGAGCGAGAGCAGAGAGGGAGAGGGAGCAAAGAGAGAGAGGGGAGAGAGTAGAGAGAGGGGAGAGAGTAGAGAGAGAGGGAAGAGAGCAGATAGAGAGAGGGGAGAGAGCAGAGATGGGAGCGAGAGCAGAGAGGGGAGAGAGCAGAGAGAGAGAGGGGGGAGAGAGAGCAGAGATGGGAGTGAGAGGAGAGAGAGGGGAGAGAGCAGAGATGGGAGTGAGAGGAGAGAGGGAGAGGAGAGAGAGGGGAGAGAGCAGAGATGGGAGAGAGCAGAGAAAGAGACCAGAGAGAGAGGAGAGAGAGACCCAATAGAGAAAGGGAGCAGAACAGAGAGAGGAGAGAGACCAGAGAAAGAGAGGAGAGAGAGGAGAGAGACCAGAGAGAGAGAGGAGAGAGACCAGAGAGAGAGAGGAGAGAGACCAGAGAGAGAGAGGAGAGAGACCAGAGAGAGAGAGGAGAGAGACCAGAGAGAGAGGAGAGAGGCCAGGGAGAGACCAGAGAGAGGACAGAGACCAGAGAAAGAGAGGAGAGAGACCAGAGAGAGTAGAGAAGCGAGAGAGAGAGAGGAGAGAGAGAGGAGATTGTCAGTACACTCTAAAAAAAAATGCATTGGCAAAACTTAATAAAATTGAGGCAGCATTTTGCATGCATCTTTTTAAGTTTTGCGAACAAGACTGTGTTTTAAGTATTCTTTGTAAGTCTTTTATCATTGGTCCAGCACAATTTTTTCAATACCACCAACTTGGATAATTGAGTTATAAAGACACTTTGTTAAGTATATTCAGCCAGTGTTTTAGCATCAGTTCAACTCAATTTTAACAAAACCACCAACTTAAATAATTACATTGAAAATAAATCTTTTTATTCAACAAGTGATTTTCTGTCAGGAATACGAAATCTTTATTCAAATACCATCTTTCAAAGATTAGATTCACAAAATGGTTCCCAATTGTTAATTTTAGGCAGTAGTCTCTCACTCCACATATATATGAGAGTGGGCCAGCACAGTCACTGGTAAACATGTCCACCTTAAAGTATTTGTTCAAAATTGAAGGGTGACACAGGGAGTATAGGACTGCTTTGGCATGGCCCTCTCGATCATGGTTGATAAAAATAAATACAATTACTTATTTGGTCAAATTAGTTTATTCAGAATGTTGCTCAAGTATTTTGCTTTAGGACATGCTTCATATTCAGTTTTAAAATTAATGCTCAAATGTAGAATTTTTAAGAAGTTTATATTTTTCGCTGCAATGCATTCTGGGTAGCGTCACTGCTTCGCCACATTTTGTTTTCAATCAACTCAATATATTTGTTTTCAATCGACTCAATATATTTGTTTTCAATCAACTCAATATATTTGTTTTTTCATTAATGGGCCACCAGGCTTACAAGAGGATTTTCATGTTGAGCAAACTCAATACTTCTCCGTTGTCCAGTTATGCCAGATTATCACATTCAAATTTGTTACAAAAATGAGTTAGGATTCTTGTATTAACTTTTAATTGAGACGGGCATGTTTAAAATGAGTTGCGACCACACTAATTTAAGTAAAACCGGCAAAAATCAATTATTGAGTTTAGTTTAGTATGTATTTTGAGTTCAAAATACTAACCACCTGAATCATTTCTTTGAGTGTAGAAATGCTTAATAGTATTGTCTGTTATTGTGGAGTGGATGTAAAACCATGTGGGACGTTCTGCTGGATCCGTGACTCTGAGTTTCTCTCGTGAAAGAAACAAAACAAAAGCTGCTGTTTCAAAAACAGATTGTGCAGAAAACACAAAAGTATCTGAACGTCTTTGAAATCGCAAACTCGGCTCCGGCTCCAGATGGAGACGGATCCTCACCCTCCACACAAGAAGTCCACACACGCAGAAAGTTTGGGTTTTACCTTTTAGCACTTATTCAGGAGTTTTAGAGAGAGAGAGAGAGAGAGAGAGAGAGAGGGGTGTGTGAGAGAGAGAGCAGAGAGAGACAGGGAGAGGGGTGTGTGTGTGAGAGAGAGAGAGGTGTGTGTGTGTGAGAGAGAGAGAGGGGTGTATGAGAGAGAAAGCAGAGAGGGAGAGAGAGAGAGGTGTGTGTGTGTGAGAGAGAGAGAGGGGTGTATGAGAGAGAAAGCAGAGAGGGAGAGAGAGAGAGAGGTGTGTGTGTGAGAGAGAGAGAGAGGGGTGTATGAGAGAGAAAGCAGAGAGAGAGAGAGAGAGGGGTGTGTGTGTGTGTGTGTGAGAGAGAGAGCAGAGAGAGAGAGAGGGAGAGGGGTGTGTGTGTGTGTGTGTGTGAGAGAGAGAGCAGAGAGAGAGAGAGAGAGAGGGGTGTGTGTGTGTGTGTGTGAGAGAGAGAGAGGGGTGTGTGAGAGAGAAAGCAGAGAGAGAGAGAGAGAGGTGTGTGTGTGTGTGTGAGAGAGAGAGAGGGGTGTGTGAGAGAGAAAGCAGAGAGAGAGAGAGAGGGGTGTGTGTGTGTGAGAGAGAGAGAGGGGTGTGTGAGAGAGAAAGCAGAGAGAGAGAGAGAGAGGTGTGTGTGTGTGTGTGAGAGAGAGAGAGAGAGGGGTGTGTGAGAGAGAAAGCAGAGAGAGAGAGAGAGAGGTGTGTGTGTGTGTGTGTGAGAGAGAGAGAGGGGTGTGTGAGAGAGAAAGCAGAGAGAGAGAGAGAGAGGTGTGTGTGTGTGTGTGAGAGAGAGAGAGAGAGGGGTGTGTGAGAGAGAAAGCAGAGAGAGAGAGAGAGAGGGGTGTGTGTGTGTGAGAGAGAGAGAGAGAGGGTGTGTGTGAGAGAGAGGTGTGTGAGAGAGACCTATTTGTAAGAGAGAGAATGAGAGAGAAACCAGAGAGACCACAGAGCAAGACCAGAGACTAGAGAGAGAGACCAGAGAGAGAGACCATAGAGAGACCATGGAGAGACCAGAGAGAGACCAGAGAGAGACCAGAGAGAGACCATTGAGAGACCAGGGAGAGACCAGAGAGAGACCAGGGAGAGACCAGAGAGAGACCAGAAAGAGACCAGAGAGAGACCAGAGAGAGACCATGGAGAGACCAGAGAGAGACCAGAGAGAGACCAGAGAGAGACCAGAGAGAGACCAGAGAGAGACCAGAGAGAGACCAGAGAGAGACCAGAGAGAGACAATAGAGAGTCCAGAGAGAGACCAGAGAGAGACCAGAGAGACCATTGAGAGACCAGGGAGAGACCAGAGAGACCAGGGAGAGACCAGAGAGAGACCAGAGAGAGACCAGAGAGAGACCAGAGAGAGACCAGAGAGAGACCAGAGAGAGACCAGAGAGAGACCAGAGAGAGACCAGAGAGAGACCAGAGAGAGACCAGAGAGAGACCATAGAGAGACCAGAGAGAGACCAGAGAGAGAGACCAGAGAGAGAGACCAGAGAGAGAGACCAGAGAGAGACCAGAGAGAGACCAGAGAGAGACCATAGAGAGAGACCATAGAAAGAGACCAGAGAGAGACCATAGAGAGACCAAAAGAGAGACCTATGAGAGAGACCATAGAGAGAACAGAGAGAGACCATAGAGAGAGACCATAGAGAGACCATAGAGAGACCATAGAGAGACCAGAGAGAGACCATAGAGAGACCAGAGAGAGAGACCAGAGAGAGAGACCAGAGAGAGACCATAGAGAGAACAGAGAGAGACCATAGAGAGAGACCATAGAGAGACCAGAGAGAGACCATAGAGAGACCAGAGAGAGACCAGAGAGAGACCAGAGAGAGACCAGAGAGAGAGACCATAGAGAGACCAGAGAGAGACCAGAGAGAGAGACCATAGAGAGACCAGAGAGAGACCAGAGAGAACCATAGAGACACCAGAGAGAGACCATAGAGAGACCATAGAGAGACCAGAGAGAGAGACCAGAGAGAGAGACCAGAGAGAGAGACCAGAGAGAGACCAGAGAGAGACCAGAGAGAGACCAGAGAGAGACCATAGAGAGAGACCAGAGAGAGACCAGAGAGAGACCAGAGAGAGACCATGAGAGAGACCATAGAGAGAACAGAGAGAGACCATAGAGAGAGACCATAGAGAGACCATAGAGAGACCATAGAGAGACCAGAGAGAGACCATAGAGAGACCAGAGAGAGACCATAGAGAGACCATAGAGAAACCATAGAGAGACCATAGAGAGACCATAGAGAGAGACAATAGAGAGACCAGAGAGAGACCAGAGAGAGACCAGAGAGAGACCATAGAGAGACCATAGAGAGACCAGACTCATGAATCCTTCCGTCAGCTCAGTCTAATGTACAGTGTTTAAATCTCGCTGGTGTTTCGTTAAAACCTGGAGAATCCGATGTCGAGGCTTTAATGTGAAGCGACGGCAAACAATAAATAAGCGAATCCAAGCGTGTGCTGTTCGTAATGATCTTCAGATGAGCCATTATGTGACTCTCTCGTCCTCCCGCTCTCTCGCTCTCTCAGTAATGACTGTGTGTGAGGCCAGACCCAGACCTGAGAAACAATAAAGCAGAATTATGGACAGATTTGTTCCGGACGCCGCGGTCTCGGATAATGCTCAGGTCCTGATAAAGAACGGCAGATTTATGTGTGGGAGAAACGTAATTAGTTAATGAAATGGTACGATGTGGTGCTCAGCCAGCGGAGAGAGAGGGAGGGAGGAAGATAGGGGAGAGAGAGGGAGGGGAAGGAGGAGATGGGGGTTAGAGAGAGAGAGAGAGAGAGATAGGAGAGAAGGAGGAGATAGGGGTTAGAGAGAGAGAGAGAGAGAGAGGAAGGAGGGAAGGAGGAGATGGGGGTTAGAGAGAGAGAGAGAGAGAGGAAGGAGGGAAGGAGGAGATAGGGGTTAGAGAGAGAGAGAGAGAGAGAGGAAGGAGGGAAGGAGGAGATGGGGTTTAGAGAGAGAGAGAGAGAGGAAGGAGAGAAGGAGGAGATAGGGGTTAGAGAGAGAGAGAGAGAGAGAGGAAGGAGGGAAGGAGGAGATGGGGGTTAGAGAGAGAGAGAGAGAGGAAGGAGGGAAGGAGGAGATAGGGGTTAGAGAGAGGAGAGAGAGAGAGAGGAAGGAGGGAAGGAGGAGATGGGGGTTAGAGAGAGAGAGAGAGGAGAGAGGAAGGAGGGAAGGGGAGATAGGGGTTAGGAGAGAGAGAGAGAGAGAGAGAGGAAGGAGGGAAGGAGGAGATAGGGGTTAGAGAGAGAGAGAGAGAGAGAGAGGAAGGAGGGAAGGAGGAGATAGGGGTTTAGAGAGAGAGAGAGAGAGAGAGAGGAAGGAGGGAAGGAGGAGATGGGGGTTCCTCCTCCTATCTTGCCACATCTTCGCTCTTCTCTGCGTTCTCTCTTCCTCTGTTCGCTCTCTGGTCCATCTGGCTCTACGATCTCGCTACCTCTCTTCGGCCGCTCGTGACTTCTCGCACTCTAATCTGCTCTCTCCTCTCGGCTTCTCTCGCGCTTGTACTTCTCGCTTTGTAAGTCTCTGTCGCTCTCTATCCTCCTCTCTCGTCTCTCTTTCCGCGCCCTCTCCCTGCTCTCTCTCTCCCTGCTCTCCTCTTCTGTCTCCTGACCATTCTTCTCGCGGGTCGGCTCTAGTCATCTCCGGCACGCCACTCTCCTTCTCTGCTTCTCTCTTCTTAACTCGTCGCTCTCTCTCGGTCCATGCTCTCCTATCGGCTCACTCTTAAGCTTCTTCTCTCGTCGTGCGCTTTCCGCTCTTGTCTCTTTCTTCTCGCTTGTAACGTTCTGCGTCTTCTCTCTTCTGCTCCTGTCTCTCTCTTACGTTACTCAACTTCTCTATCTCGTCTCTCTTCATGTCTCTCCTTCTCTCTCTGTCTCGTCTCAGCTCTCGCTTTCTCATGCTCTCGGCGTTATGCTCTCTCTCTCGCTCGTCCTGCTCTGCTTCGCTCTCACTTGTAATCTGCCCTCGCTGGCTCTCTTCGCGTCTCTCCTTCTTCTCTCTCTTAACTCTGCTCCTCTGTCTTCTCGACCTGTCTTCTCTTGCCCTTTCTCTCTTGTAACGGTCTCTCTCGGCTCTCCAGTTCTTTCTCCTATCTCCGTGCGTCGCCCTCTTCTCTCTTTTTCTGTCCATGCCGTCGTCTCATAGCGGCTCGCGCTCGTTCCTTCGATCACACTTTTCATCTCCTCACCTCCCTTCCCTCTTATTTTGCTTTCTCATTACCTTCCTCTGACTTTCTTTTCGTTCCTTTTTAAATCTCTCTTTCTTTGTTCACGCTTCTATTCACGTTCTCTCCCTCTGTCTCTAATTTCTTCTCACTCGCTTCCTTTTCTCTCTTTTACTACTTCGTTTCTTCTTCGCCTCCCTCACCTTTCTTTCCTTCTTCTCCACTTTTCTCTCTCTTCTCCGATTCTCTCCTCTCTTTCCTCTCTCTGTCCGCTCTTCTCTTCCCCTTCTCTCTCCCCTCTCTCTCTCCCCCCTCTCTCGCCCTCTCTCTCTATCCCCCCTATCTCTCCCCTCCTCTCTCCCCCCTCTCTCGCCCCGACTATCGCTCCCTCCTCTGCTCTCACCCGCTTCTACTCTCTCCCCTCTTCTCTCCCCTAGCCTCTCTCCCCCCTCCTCTGCTCCCCCACTCTCTCTCTCCCCCTGCTCTCTCTCCCCCTCTCGTTCGCTCCCGCGCCATCTCTCGCGCCCCTCTCTCTCCCCGCGCTCGCTACCCCTATCTCGGCCCCACGATCGCTCTCCCATCCCCTGCCTCGCGCCCATCTCTCTCTGCCCTGTCATTCTCCGCCTCCCGACCTCTTCGCTCGCGCAGCTCTCTCCTCCCCCGTGATGCTATCCCCCCATGCATCGCCTCTCTCCCCGAGAGAGCGCAAAACCCGAATCCGTATCTACCCACCTCAGCTAGACCACCAACTCTCTGGCGGCGACTCCCCCATACTTCGCTTCGTGGCTCGGACTGCCCCCTACATCTCTACCTATCACTCTCGATCCCCTACTGTCGTCACTCCTCTTGACTCTAGACACTCTCTCGTGCCAATCCCACATCTTATTCGCCCCGGCTCTCGTTCCCATCCCTGCACTCCCTCATAGTCTCACCCCGACCACTGCTCTCTCCACGTTCTCTCTCTCCCGCCCCCTGCTCGCTCCCGCTCTCGTTCTCCCACGGCCTCGCTACTACTCCCTCCCACTCTCTCCCCTGCTCGCTGTCTCTCCCCTCTCGTTGCTCCCCCCCTCTGCTTCTGCGCCACTCCCGCTCTCGTCTCGCCCTCTCTCTGCTCCCCTGCTTTATGACAGAGATACCCCGTCGATCGCGCCCGAGCTCCTGCATCTATATCACCCCTCGTCTGCTATCAACCCTCTCTCGCTCCCCCGCTGCGACACTCCCAGAGTCCGCTCAAATACCCCGCTCGCGCTCACGAGACCCACCCTCGGCGAGGAGGCAGGCCCCCCAGATTCCCTCTCTACCCAGATCCTGCCGCTCGCGCCCACTCTTTTCTCTCCCACGTGGCATCTATCTCCCCCACCGCTACGCTGACCCGAACTTTTTCCCGTGTACCCCGACTACTCATCTCCTCCCCCGTCCGACTATACCCCTCTTCGCGTACCCTATCCATAGATCCCCAACCTCTATTCTCTACCAGAGGACTGCGTCTGACTCACCAATGCTCGCACCCTTCGCGTTGCTCTCCCCGCTTGTCTCGCTGCCCCGAGATAATTCGCGTCCCGACGCTCTCCGACGTCTGTCTTCCCGCCTATCGCCCCATCTCTCTCCTCCGCCTGACTCTGCTCCCCTCGCTGTCTTCTCCCCAGATAGCGTCTCGCCACGCCCATCCTCTCACATCCCGCTATGAGGAACCTGTACCCTCGACGCTCCCAGCTCTTTCCTCTCTCCCCTCTCTGTCTCTCCCCTTGCTCTGACTCTCGCCCTTCACGCTCTTCGCTCCCCACTCGCTCGTGCCCCAGCTGCCACCGCGTCTCTGCCCCCCGAACGCGTCGTCTCCTCGCCCACTAGCCGCTCTCTCCCCTCTCGCTCGGCCCCCAAGTCGCTCGCCGCGTCGTCTCCACGCTCTATTCTCCTGCGGCCCTCCCGTCTCTCTCCCACACGTCTCCCGCTCTGCAAATCCCCCATTCTCGTGAGCGGCTCGTCACACCCCGTCCACTCTATATCCCCGCCAGAAGGTGCTCCCGCCTCTCTTCCGCCCCTCATCCGCGGCCCCAGCATACTCATGTCCTCACCCACTCGCTCTGCTGCCCTACCATCGACTTACTCGCGCCCCCGCGCTATCTCCCATTTCCTCAGCCGGTCGCTGCCTCTCTCCCCCCACCGGATCTCTTCTTCCGAGACGGGCATCGCTCCTTCGACGTCTCCCTACTCTCCCTCCTCCCGACTGCTCGCCTTCCATCTCTTCTCCCCGCCGGGCTCTGCTCTCACCCCCCAACACCGCTTCTATTCTTGTTGCCTGTCGTTTATTGGTTTCTGTCATGTTTTGATTGCCTCTCCGGCTTTGACTCAGTTGGCGGGGGCTAAAAATCCCGAGGACTCCGCTCGCTCCGTGTAACTGCTTATCTGCCTCCATTCCCACGCGCTCCTTCGCTCGCCTAATGCGAACCCCCACTAGCAATGTCAGCTGCACGCTCTCCGACAACCCCCCCTCGAGTCCCGACTGCTGCATATTTCGGGCATCGCCAGCCCCACTCGGCCTTCTCTTCCTTCCCCCTCTTCAATACCCTCGTACTGCTTCCCGGTTTGTTATTTTACTTCTCCCCTTTTATCCTCCCCAGTGTGTTGATTCCCTATCCCTCCCCTGTTTTTTTTTTCCTTTGTCTACTCATTATTTATTTCACTTCCTGTAGGTGGTTTTTTAATTTCCTCCCGGGGGGGGGGGGGGGGGGGGGGTGGAGGGGGGGGGGGGGGGGGGGGGGGGGGGGGGGGGGGGGGGGGGGGGGGAGGGGGGGGGGGGGGAGATAATAGGGGACTGAGAGACGGGAGGAATAGTGGTTATGTTACGAAGACTCCAGGCAACCCGCCCTCATTCACTTACGCGCCTACCGGAGGGTCGAGTCGGCACGCCAGCACTAGGCACAACCCCACTCAAGCCTTTCTTTCCTCTCCCCGAGTCTGACGAATCGGCATACATATCCCCTCTCCCCCCCCCCGACGGCTTTCGCCCAGTATCTACTCCCCGCACTCTCACTAGCCTCGATCCATACCCCTTCCCTTTCTCTCCCACACTACACGCGGCTCGAGCGCGTCCTCTACCCGCACCCCGCACTTTCCTCCCATGTGTCCTCCCCCCTTTTCCCTGCTCTCCCCCCCCGTTGCCTCCCTCGGCCGCCGCCTCCTCCGACGATTTTCGACCTTCGTCCCTCCGGTCTCCCCCTGAGGTCGTCTCCCCTCCTCTCCTGACTCGCGGCATAAACCGGACCATGAACCACGCCACCCATCCACGAGAAAACCAAATACCGTGAACTACTACCCACAAGGACATACCCCCCTGACCCCCCACTTTCATCACAGATTCTTTATAAAAACAAAACATGAAAAAGAAAACAAAAAATAAAAGAATCACCCATTTCTTTTGAAACCTTATGATTTTGTAAAAGTCTTTTACCCTTCTCTCCTGGGGGGGAGGGGGGTGGGGTGGCAGGCAAGTACCCGCAACGATAAACCAATATTAGAGACGATAATGTGTGGGGGGGTGGAGTTTCATCCCCCCCACCCCACCCATTTCCGCAAACTGAGAATAAATGTCATTTTTCTAAGAGAACGAAAAAGTTGTGTACCTCTCCCCACGATTGGTAGGGCTCCGCATAAAAGACAACGGCGACCATACCACCAGTAAAAAACACCCTGGTCTCCCTCCCGCCACCGCCTTGCACCGGCCCCTCACGCACCACCCCGCCTCCACCCCCCCGTCTTGCGGTCCTCTTCCTCCGAACCCGATCTAACCATCCACTGTGTTATATCGGCTACTCATCTTCCTCACGCACTACTCAAGTCTTGCCCACTTCTACAAGATAACATAAGCCCCGCGCCCCCCCCCTCGCACCATTCACCCCACCCCCCCCACGGGGGGGGGGGGGGGGGGGGGGGGGGGGGGGGGGGGGGGGGGGGGGGGGGGGGACTGGACAGCGCCCGGGGTTGGTGATTACCCTCCGGAACCCCCCGGCTCCTTTGTCCCGGTGGCCCCCCTTAGCAGCCCCTACGGCCCCCACCTTGCCCCAACGCTACTCTGTCTCTTTCCCACACACAACCCACATACCGCCTACATTCCCGCCCTCCACGCCACCCCAGCCCCGGCCCCTCCTAACTCCGCCCCCTCCCACCATCCCCCCGTCCTCCCGCCCCCTCTCCCACGCCCCCATCACCTACTTGCCCCGCCCACGTATCGCCTCCCCGTATACACTACCTACCGACACAGTCCCCCCATACGGCTCCTTGCCGTAATGCGACTACTCGCCCTGACCGAACGACACCGCCAAGTATCCCGGATGAACCCCACGTTTACCCGTCCTCCAGCACACAACTAAGAAGCAGCAACATGCACTTATCTACACCGCTCTTCACGCCTCCATGATTTTCCCCCCGACACCCCCCAACGGGGCCGCCACCAAGCGTATACTCCGGCCCTTAGACGCCAGACTTCAAAAATACGGTGCAATACCTACCCCGTACACTCAGATCATGCACTTAAAAAACTATGTCGGGAGTTGTGGTGTTTGTCTCTTGTTGGTTTACATGTTGCGTATGTGAACTGTCCTTCTCTTAGTTTAGCCGTTACTGTAGGGGTGTTGCCTGCTCTCGTATGTTTACTGGGGATTATCTCTATCGTCGGGGTGTCTATTTGCGGCTGTTACCCAAATTGCTCTAGCCGTTGTACCAGAAAACCCCCCTCACTCCTGACCGCGCCCAAGCATTCAATTAAAACCGGCCGCCGCACCCACGCCGAAAGTCAACGAAAAGAAGGCAATCGCCTAGCCGATCACCACTCAAAATCATAACAAATAGGAAAACCTACGCTCCCAACACAAGCGCCCCCTCTCCATAATACAGCCTCCAGACACCTCACAGCCCGCCCCCAAAAAACAAACCACGACCCACATTGGACCCTCCCCCCCACGAGGTTTCCTCCCGGGATTATTGAAGCAAAAAGCAATAATCACAGAACCAGCAGAGATCGCCAAAGCGCACCGCTACAATCCTGCGCACAAACCACTTTTACTCCACTCCCACCTAATACCCCACTATGATATAACACAAACAGCGGTTCACAACTTGTAGAAAAATATCAACAACACACGCCCGAACACACCATACAGACACCACTACAAAAAACCCCCGCCCGCCCCCCGCCGCCCACCCCCCCCGGCCCACAGAAATCCTCAAAACAACAACACAGAAACAGCAAACCGCCTCCGTAAACCCAAAAAAAAAACAAACCCCAACCCAAACAAAACCGCGGCCACCAAAACACCACTAACCACATGCGGTCAGAACCCCCCCACCCCGCCACCCGCCCCCCCCCACCCCCCATCCCCCCACCCCCCCAACCCACGTTCGGGCTCCCGCCCCGCCCACCCCCCCCCCCCCCCCGCCCACCCTCCCCCCACCCCGCCCGTCCCCCCCCCCCCCACAACCCCCCCCCCCCCCCCCCCCCCCCCCCCCCCCTCCCCCCCCCGCTCCCCCCCCCCCCCCCCAGCCCCCCCCCCCCCCCCGCCCCCATCCCCCCCACACCCCCCCCCCCCCCCCCCCCTCCCCCGCCCGCCCCCTCCCAACCTCCCCCCACAAAACACCCACGGAATTGGTCGCTTAAGCCACCCCCGGCCCACTCGGAATCGGCTTCGAGGGACTAGCGTCTTCTGTCGTCCTGAGTTTCCCTCATCTCGGGTTTCCAACTTCCCTTACCATCCCTATCGTCCAACATCCTCTCGCTTACTCTGTTTTTAGGGTAGTGGGTCCTCTGTGTCGGTCATCCTTGCTGGAAGTGGCGTCTCGATCGTCATCGTCTCGAACCGGGCATCCGTCCCTCATCCGGAGTAACAGCCACAACTCGATTAAAACCCCAGCCCGACAACCCCGATCAACCTTACTTTCTCTTCTCTCACCCCGCTCGTCACCTGTCCCTTCCAACATGTCTCCCAACCCAGGCACCCCCTCACCATTTCCCTCTCAGGCTCTATCAACTCCAACGACCTGCGGCTCACATGCCAAAGCCTCCCTCCGTGGCATCTCTCCGCAACGCTCACTCTCACCAGAATCCTCTCCTCCCAGCCCCCGTTCCTCTCCCCCCCAAAGCGGCACCCACCAGGCGATAAGCCTCTCCCACTCTTCGTCGTATCCGTCCTCTGACTTCTCCCGTGCTTATCTCCGAGCTCACCGCCACGCGTCACATCTGTCGCTCCCTCTCTCCTTTACTTCCACTAAAGAACGCACGGCGTCCTTACCACTCACACCTCCCGGAGATAAAATCCCGGATCGCCGTAACCCCCGCTCCTCCCCTCAGCCAACGTATCACTCAACTCCCACCGGTCTTCCTTCACCGAACCCATCGCCACTCCAATGCCACCTCTCATCTACTCCCCCCCGTCACTCATCCCACAAACGACCCTACTCCGGGCCAGGACCCTCAGAGCCGCAGAATCGCCCCAGGAGGTCTCCATGTACACCTCAACCTCCTCACGAGCCCTTTCAAATCGTCCCCATCCAATTCTCCCCACAATCGCATCCACAAACCTGTCGCCCACTGAAGATCGTCCAAAGCAAGGTCAGCGGACCACACCGCGCCGGCGACCCTTCATCTCCAATCAGCTCCTCACTCGCCGAACTCCGACACCCCGCACTCAGCTCTCAACAATCAAGCTCGCTCCTTCCCATACTCCAATCCCCGTGTCCACAACATCCAATCACACAGCACACCGGGGTCCCCCGGGCACCCGGCACCCCCTACCCGCCCAGCTCCGGGCTCGCACCAGCCGGTGTGCCCAACCGCACTCACGGGAGACCCCAACTCATCACTCACGGCCACCGCTTTTCCCGGGTATCACCCCCACCCCTCTCACGCCGAGGACTCGAGGGAGCACACAAGGGGTAGTGGGGGGGGCTCCTTCTAGAATCCTCGCATCCACCACCAGCTATCAACTAAGGGGGATACGGGAGGCACCACGTCTGCATTCCACACTCTCCCCCCCACTCCCTTCTGCCATCCTCCTCATCTCCTCTCCCCCAGCTCGCCGCCTCAGCCTACCCCGCCGCCCCAGGAATCCTCATCCCCCTCCCGCCACACCGTCCCAACCCCCCGATCCCTGGGACGCCCCCGCCCCCCCCCCCTACCGGTTTCTCCCATCAACTCTGGGAAGTCGACAACTTTCTCCTCCCCCCTAGGCACCAGAAGCTATCCACCCTCCGGCAAGATCCCCCGGTCATGTCGCCATCCTACGGTAGCGTGTCCATCTCCTAGGCAACTCCAGCTTTCATTTCCTCGGGGTAGAACCATAGATCTTTCAATCATCATCTCATACTCCCGCCTCCCTAGCCCGTGAGACCTGAGATCCAGCTCCCACAAGGACCCTTCCCCCGCACTCGAATCTTCTTCCCCTTCGCTCTCGGGACTACCTCGACCTACTCTACGATCTGGTCGTCAAACTCTCGTCTCAGAACTGGATCTCTACCAACCCCGGCCGCGCACTCCTACACATGTCCACGCCCAGGACTACCCCCACTACACTTCTCAAAATCCGACCCATCTATGGAGGCCACGGGTCCCCACGCCCTGCCCCTCTCATGCGACTACCCACCGGCATCTGTTAGCAAGTCCGTCTCCACCGCGCCCCACCTCGGTTATCTCTTTAGTCTCCTTTCATGGGTTCAGGGGGTTCCTCCTCCCAATGCTACAACTCCAACTCTCGAGATCCAGTCCCCACTTTCCTCTCGGTCTGCGACGGCACCTCATTACCAGGGCCACGCAACGGAACTGAAACCAGCGACAGCAGGGGAGTTTAGGGATCGTATAGGCCACGTCCCGCTCCGCCCCGCCAGTTCCCTCCGGTCGACATTCCTCCATTACCGGACTGGGCCGCGCCGCTCAACGCCCTTCTCTCCCCAAAATCCCAACCAGCGCCAACGCTGGGTGCAGCGTCCGAGCTCGGCAAAGGACCCCCTTTCGTCTCCTTCTGCCATCAGTGTTCCTCCTCCTCTCGCACGTCCAGACTCACATCTCTCTTTCTCTCCTCCTTCACATCCTCGTCCCCAGAATCCGTCCCCACGACAAATGCTCACCCACCAGCTCAGACGTCACCCCTACACCCCATCCCATCGCATGCTCTAACGAAGCGACCACGTCGATCCACACCAATGTCGTCATATTCCGGCCTGTCACCACCCCCAAGCTAACCCAACATACCACTACGCTCGACGGTCCCGTTCGCCCACCCCCGTCGCAGGCACTCAGTTCTACCTCTCCCGAACACCCCCGTAAAACCCATTCACACGCTCGCCTGCCGCATCCAAACGGATCCCTATGGCCCTCGCACTCATTATCATTATCCACCTCCTGACGCCCCGCCCTTCGAACCCGGTTCACTCCTGACTTCATCCATCAATCAGTCAGCCAAACCCGCTCGCCGGGGTCTGCACCCCTCACAGCAGTTACTCCCCACTCCTCGAAGTGACCCCCCATACAAGAAACGACAAGCAACCCCTCACGGCATTTCGACTCCACACTGCACTCGGAACTCCCCTGCACCAATCAACCGTGTAACGATCCAAATCATCTCCGCCTTGCTGTCTCCTCTCCACTCACGACAGGTACCTTCCTCTCACGTCCAACGACGGGTACGCATATCGCACTTGAGTCCGACGCCCCTCCGCCTCGGTCCGCGCACAGTGCCTACCCACTCCAATCCCCTGATCGGCCGACCGACAAGGTTCCTTCTCCATCTCGTCCACTGGTTCCGTCTCATCTCTCGCATACCTCCGATCAATCGCGGCGAAACACCAGGCCCAGGTCGTCACAAATCCAGCGTCTCTGCCCCCAGAGCACCAGACCGCCCTCTCACGCGCGAAGCGGTCGAGCTATCTCGAACTGGCTCGGTCTCTCCTCCACCAACTCCATATCCATCCCGCCACCCCCTACCAGGGAACAGCGGTTCTATCGCACGCAACGCCTCGCCCACCCCAAAACCCCTTAGTCCCGCAGGACGGCACTCGTCCTCCATAGACCCAACAGCGCGCACTAACCGTCTATCAGCTCTATTATCCAGCATATCATTTCACCACCCACTGACACAAACGTGATCTCCAGTACACTCAGACTTCCTTCCTTCAGTCAGCTCACCCCGTTCGGTCCACACCCCACCGTCCGCTCCCCCCCCATATCCTACCACCCTCCTTCGTACGACCATCCGTAACACGTAGCAGTCACTGCTCCTATCCCATCTAGTCCTCCCGCACCCAATCATCTCCCGCCCCAAGCCCACAACTCCCAGCCAGGGTCATCCCAGTTCCCTGTCGATGGGAGCACATCTCATGACTCCACTACAATCCGGTCCCCATATGACCCCTGGCACTGAACCCTTTCCGCCCCGAGGCGCGCAACGGCAACATCCACGCTCACGACCTACCCTCGCATCGTCGTCAAATCTCTCGTCATAGTCCGACCGATGAATCAGGCCCGGACAACTTCCTCGCTACTGACGGGCTCACCTACTCCTGATTCCATCTCAGGTGTCGTACATCACGCACCACTTCGCAGTCCGCGTCGAATGACCCTCGACTCGGACACGACGACACGCTGGGAACCGGTCTTCACGATCAGGGACCCGGCATCCCCATCGCCGTGTCGGAGCGCCTTTCGCCGCGCCCTCGCATACCCAGCTCCCTCGGCCGTGTCAACCTCCAGTCAAAGCTATCCACCACGCACGAGTGCAGCCCAAACACCAATCATCGAGAAGTTCACGTACGGGACCTGGTCGGCTCGTGCGATTAGTAGCCTGCTCACTACCACGTACATCGGTACGACCCCAGGCCCCCCCCGGCTCGGGATCATCGGCGTCCAATAGCATGCCTCTGCAACTCGCCTCCAATACCACAGCCTCACCCTCTCGGTGAACAGCTTGGGCTCCGCCTCGGACACACGCACCGGCCTGCCGTACTCACGTCTCCCATAACGACACCTCGCGAACAAGTCAGTAGCACGCCGCGTCTCGTTACCGCACTGCCCGCGAAAGAAGCCTCTACACCAATATTCCCCGTCTAACAAAGGTACTCTCTCCCCACGCCCTACCCCCTTATCAATACCTCCCGCGCGAACTCGCCACCCGAGCCCACGAAGCGGCTCCCAGTTTCCACAACCTATCCTCCTACTCCCCTCCAGGTCGCTCACCATATTACCCGCCCTCCTCCGCCCTCCCCTTCATCCAGCATCTCACTCACCAACACCTCAAGTGATCCGGGAACCCGCCTTCAAGACTCACGTCTCTCCTCAATCAAAGAGACGGTCACACTACTCCCTAATCCAACAAACTCGAGTCAGGCTCTCGGGCCACAGTGCTCTCCCTCTCCATCTTCTCTGTCATCTCAAATGCCCCTGTGGCCTCTCTCTCACGTTCATGGTCGTCTCTTCAGCAAGCCCCCGAGGGACTCCCGGTCACCCCTTTGGTGAAACGTCTCTCTCTCCAACACCCTCCTCTACGTTCTCCTATTCCCTGAAGAGAACCAATCCAGTCCCTGTCCCGCCCTCCTCTCGGATCGTTCCGTGTACAATTCAGTGTCCCGCCTCTCTCTGAGCAATCCCATCTCTGTGTGCACATGGACAGGTCTATCGGACGGCATCTCGACTTTCAACCGACGCAAACGTCTACGCTCGAGCCGGGTTCTCCACGCTCCTATCAAGGGAGCGTTCCACGATGCTGGCCCTCCCCTCCGATCACCCTCATCCATCACATCCCCCCCCCGATCTCTACCCTGATCCACATCCCCGAACACTAGAGGTGAGGTAGGTTAATCGTCTCGTCCGCGCTCACGTCTTCAAGCTCGGAACCGCTCTGGGAGGCCACGAGGGTGTTGGGTTGCTCCGGACATCCGGACCGAGTTCCCACGAACGACGGTGTCATGAGTCTGGAACTAGCTTCGAGCATTCGGTCATCGGCTAACGCCTCAGCCGTCTCCCGATACAGCCCTCTGGTCCCGGGGATAGTCGCGGCTCTACGATCTTCCTCGGCCTCTCGGGTCCAAGGCCCGTCACAACGCGTACCGACACCGGATGAACTCATCCCTATGTTTCATCGCCATCCATATCCCCACCCGCACCACAGTCCTTGAAAAATCTGCCTGACGTGAGGGGACCCTGGTCCATTCTGGTGGTCTCGCCTTTCCCTACCTCCGGCTCAGCGGCACTTGCTCTCTTTGTGCACACACCCATCTCAATCGGACGAGACCAAGAATGCATAAATCGGTCCCTCTCCGCACGCGTCCCACCATCCGCACCGCCGGCGACATTCGTCTCTCGCATCCACGGGCCCCCCCCCCCTCTTGTTGTGGTCGTCAACGTCGACACTTCTACTCACCCCTCTCTTCTCACAACATAACCATACACTAACTGGTCTTCAGGTACTACGTCAATGTCCTAAACCTTCTCGTCCTGTCCCTCCAAACTTGTACCTGCTTGCTATCCTAACTTCTCTCCTTTTTCCTCTTATAACCTCTTTGAAGTCTTACCCTGGTCTTCGATGTAGCCCTCTCCCTCGAGTCTCTCAGCTCCTCGAAGAAAAATTCACCGGTCCTGCGCGCCGACACTCGACTCGGCCGTCCTCCATCGCCTCCGTAGGCTGTATGAACCTGATAGGGCTCAGACAGTCGACGGACGTGGACAGATCGACCGACGAACCTCCACTAGTAGCGAAGGAACGAGGCTATCTGCCCCGCATCATCCCACTCTCTCCTCTCCATCCCTTCCCTCAATCCGTCCACGCCCCCTGCAGCTGAAGCAGCCGGCTCGTCACGCCAGACTCTCTAGCTATCACGGATCCCCTAAACACAACGAGCAACTCCCATCTTCTGTTTGGAGAGGGGCAATCTCGCCGTCGATCCTCACTAAACTCTCTGAATCAGCACCGTCCTCAACATAGATCTCCGCCAGCCCCCCCATCCTTCGATTGAGATCTATCCATCAAACCACGAGGTTCAACGCCCCGTAACCGACTCGATCTGCTCCACTCCCACTCTCCAGACTGCTCTCGAGACTCCACATCCCAGAGTAATACCACCGAGAGCCCTCAGACTCTATCTCTCTCATCTCCAAGCGCTCATGGCGTTAATCCTACTCAACTCTTAATAATGAGCAGAACAGACGTAGGGTTTTAAAAAAATTAAAAAAAAAATAAAACAAAATTAAAAAAAAAATAAAAAATAAAACATCCTATAAACAAAAAAAAAAATATCCCTGGTTTGTGGTGGGGTTTGTGTGGGGTTTGGTGTTGGTTTTTGGTGGTGAGGGGGTTTGGTGGGTGGGGTTGGTGTGTTTGTGTTGTGGGGTTTGGTGTGGGGGGTGGGTGGGGGGGGGGGGGGGGTGTGGGGTGTTGGGGTGGGGGTGGGGTGGGGTTTGTTTTGGGGTGGTTGGGGGGGGTGGGTGGGTGGTGGGGGGGTGTGGGGGTTGGGTGTGTGTTGGTGGGTGGTGGGGTGTGGTGGGGGGGGGTGTGGGGGTTGTGTGTGTGTGGGGGGGTTGTGTTGTTGTTGGGGTTGATTTGTTTTTTGGGTTGGGGGGGGTTTGGTGTTGGGGTGGTTGGGTTGTTGGTTGGGGGGGGTGGTTTGGTTGTTGGTTGTGGTGGTGGGTGGTTGTGGGGGGGGTTGGGGTGGGGTTGTGGGGGGGGGTTTGTGGTGTGGTGGGGGGTTGTGGGGTGGGGGGTAGTTTTTGGGGGGGGGGGGGGGGTGTGTTGGGGTTTGGGGGGGGGTTTTGGGGGGGTTGGTTGGTGTGTTGGGGGGGGGGTGGTGTGGGTTGGGTGGGGGGTGGGGGGGGGGGGTGTTGGGGGGTGTGGTGTTGGGGGGGTTGTGGTTGGGGGGGTTTTGGGGGGGTGGGTTGTGGGTGTTGGGTGTGGTGGAGTTGTGTTGGGGGTTGTGTGGGTTGGTGTGGGTTGTGTTTGGTGGAGGTGGTTTGGGGTGTTGTGTGAGTTGGGTTGTGTGTGGTTTGGGTGTTGGGTTGTGTGGTGTGGGTTGGTGGGTTTTTGTTTGTGGGTGGGGTGTGTGGTGTTTGTGTTTTGTTTGTTGGGGGTGGTTTGGTGTTTGGGGTGGTGTGGTGTTGTTTTTGGTTATGTGTTGTTAGGTGTGGGGGTGTTGGGGTGGGGAGGGGTTGTGGTGGGGTTTTTGGGTTGGGTTTGTTGGTGTGTGTTTGGGTGGGTGGGGGGGGGGGGGTGGTTGTTTTGTTTTGGATTTGGTGGGGGGGGTGGGGGGGGGGGGGGTGTGGGGGGGGTGGGGGGGTGGTGTGGTGGGTTGGGTGGGTGTTTTGGGGTGGGTGGTTTGGTTGGTTTGTGGGGTGGGGGTTGGGGTGTGGTTTTGGGGTTGTGGTGGGGTGGGGGGGTTTTGGGGGGGTTTGTTTTGGGGTGTTGTGTGGGGGGTGTGGGTGGGGTTTGGGGTTGGGGTGGGTGTTTTGTTGTGGTTGGGGTGGGGGGGTTGGTGGGGGGGTTGGGGGGTGTGGGGGGTTTGTTGGGGGTTGGTGTGGTTGTGTGGTGTGGTGTGGGGTGGTTGATTGATTGGTGTTTGTTTTTTTTTGTTGGGTGGGTTGTGTGGGGTGTGTGGTGGTGTGTGGGTGTTGGGGTTTGTGTTTGTGTGGGTTAGGGTGGTGTGGGGTGGGGGTGGGGTGGTTGGATGGTTGGGTGTGGGGTTGGGTGGTGGGGGGTGTGGTTGGTTTTGGAGTTGTGGGGGGGTTGTTTTGGTGGGTGGGTGGGGGGTTGTGGGGGGGGATGGGGGTGGGTGGTGGTTGTGTGGTTGGTGTGGGTGAGTGTGTGGGTTGTGGTGTGTTGTTTGTTGTGGGGGGGGGGAGTGGGTGATTGGGGTGTGTGAGTTGTGTGTGTGGTTGGTGTTGGGTGGGGTGGGGGTTTGGTGGGGTGTTGTGTGGGGGTGGGTGGGTGGTGTGGGGGTGGTGGTTGTGGTTGGGGTGGGGGTTGTGGTTTGGTTTGGGTGGGGTTTGGGGGGTGGGGTGGGTGTTGTGGTAGGTTGTTGTTGGGGGTGTAGGGGTGGTTGGGGTAGGGGTGTGGATAGGGTGTAGATATTTGGGGGGTGGTATGTTGTGGTGGGGGGGGGTTGGTGGGGTTTATATTTGATGTGTGTATGTTTGGGACAATGGTAGATATGTGGTAGGGATGGTGTGGTTTTGGTGATTGGTGGGGATCTGTAGTTATATGGTGTAGGTGTTGGGGTGTTTTGGTAGTTGTGTGGTGTGTTGGGTGGTGGTGTTGTTTGTTGTGGGGAGTTTGGTGGGGGTGGGGGTGTTGGGTGTTGGGGGGGGGATTGTTGGGTGGGGGGGGTTTGTTTTTTGGGTGTGTTTTGTGGGGGGGTGTGGTGGGGTGTTGGGGTGGGTGGTTGTTGGTGGGGTGGGGGGGGTGTGGTGTTTGTTTTGTTTGTTTTGGTTTGTTGTGTGGGGGTTTGGGTTGGTGGTGTGTAAGAGGTTGTGTGGTGGTGTGTTGGGGGGGGGGGGGGTTTTGGGGGTGGTGGGTTGTTGGTTTTGGTGTGTAGGTTTGGTTTGGGGGGGGGTGTGGTGGGGTTTGGGGTTTTTGGGGGTGGTGTTAGTTGTGGGGTTGTTGTTTGGGTTGGGTGGTGGGGTTGTGTTGGGTGGTGGGTTTGGTGGTGTGTGTGGTGGTGGGGGGTGGTGGGGGTTTTGTGGTTGTTGGGTGGGTGTGGTGGGGGGTTGTGGGTGTGGTGGGGTTTGTGTGGTTTGGGGTTGTGGGGGGGGGTTGGTGGGGGGTGTTTTTTGTGGGGTGGGGGGGGGGGGGGGGGGGGGGGTGTTGGTGGGGGGTGGGTTGTGTTGGGTTTGTGGGGGGGTTGGGTGTGGGGGGGGGGGGGGTGGGGGGTTGGGGTGTGGGGGTGGTTGGGTGGTTGTTGTGGGTGGGTGGGTGGGTGGTGGGTGGTTGGTGTGGTTTGTGTGGGGTGGGGGTTTGTTATTTTGTTTGTGGGGGGGTTGGTGGGTGGGGGGGGTGTGTGGGGGGGGGGAGTGTGTGGGGTTTGTGGTGTGGGGTGGGGGTGTGGGGGTGGTTGGGTGTGGGGGGGGGGGGGGGGGGGGGGGGTGGGGTAGTTGGTGTGGGTGGTTGGGTGTGTGGTTGGGGGGGGGTGGGGGGGGGGTGGGGGGTTGTGTTTGTGGGGTTGGGGGGTTGTTGGGGTGGGGGGTGGGGGGTGGGTGTTTGTGGTGTTGGGGGGGGTTGGGGGGGGGGGGGGGGTGTGTGTGGGTGGGTGGGGGTGTTGTGTTTTGGGTGTTTAGTGTGTGGGTGTGGGGGGTGTGTTTGGTTGGGGTTTGGGTTTTTTTGTGTGTTGGGGGGGTTGTGTTTTTTTTTTGTTGGGTGGGGGGTTTGGTTGTGGTTTGTTTTTGTTTGGGGGGTTGGTTGGGTTTGTGGTGGGTGTTTTGGTGTGTGGGTTTGGTGGTGGGGTTTGTGGGGGGTGGTGTGTGTGGTGGGTGGGGTGTTTGTGGTTGTTTATGTTTTGGGGTGTGGTTTTTGTGTTTTGGTGGGGGGTGTGTGTTTGTTATTTGGGTGTGGTTGGGGGGGGTGGTGGGGGGGGGGGGTTGGGGGGGGTTGGGGGGTGGGGGGTGGGGGTGGGGGTTGGTTGGGGTGTTGTTGGGTTGTTGGGGTGTGTGGGGGGGTGATGGGATGTTGGGTGGGGGGGGGGTGTGGTTGGGGGGTGGTTGGGGGGGTGGTTGTGGTGTGTGGGTGGATGGGGGGGTTGTGTTGTTTGGTTGGTGGTTGTGTTGTGGGTTATGTTTGAGTTTGTGTGGTTGGTGTTGTTGTGGTTGGGTGGTGTTGTAGAAAGTGGTTGTTGTTGTTGTGTTGTGTTGTTGTTTGTTTTGTTGGGTGGTGGTGTGGTTGTGTTTTTTGGGTTGGTGTTTTAGTTGTTGGTGGATTTGTGGTGGGTGGTGTTGTTAGTAGTGTGGTGTAGTTGTTGGGTGGTGGTTTGGTAGTGGTTTTGTGGTTGGTGTGTGGATTGGTTGTGGTTTTGATGGGGTAGTGTGGTATTAGTGTTAGGTGTTTTATGTTATGGTAGGTGGATAAGTTGTTGGTGTTTAAGAGGATTGTGATTTTTGTGGGTATAGTTGTTAGTGTTGGGGGGGGGGTGGGTTGGTTTGGGGGGGTGGGGGTGGTGTGGAGGGGGTTTGGTGGGGTGGGGTGTGTGTTGTGGGGGGGGGTGGGGTGGGTGGTGGGGTGGGTTTGGGGGTTTTAGGTTGTGTTGGGTTGGGTGTTTGGGGGTAATGGAGGGAGGTTTATTAGTAGTTGGGTTGTTGTGTTGGGTGGTGTTGTGTGTTGGTTGAGTTTGTTTGGTTTGTTGTTGGGGGTAGGGTGGGTTTTTTTTGTTTTTGGGGTGTGGAGAGTGTGAGGGTGTGTGGTAGTGTGTGTGTGTGTGTGTGATTGGGTATGGGTGTGTTTGGAAGTGTGTGTGTGTGTGGTGTGTGTGTGGTGTTGTGGTGAGTGTGTGGTGTGTGTGTGTTTGTTGGGTGTGTGTGTGTGGGTGTGGTATGTGTGGTTGTGTTTGGTGTGGTTTGTTGTTGTGTGTGTGTGGTTGTGTGTGGTTTGAGGTTGTGTGTGTGTGTGTGTGGTGTTGTTGGTGTTTTGTGGAGTGTGTGGTGTGTGGGTGTGTGTTGGTGTGTGTGGGTGTGTGTGGTTGTGAGGTGTGTGTGGGTGTGTGTGTGTGTTGTGGTGTTGTTGTTGTGTGATGGTGTGTGTGGTTGGTGTGTGTGTGTGGTTGTGTGGTTTGGTTGGGTGTTGTTGTTTGTGGTTGTGGATGGTGGGGGGGGTGTGTGGGTAGTGTGGGTTTTGGTGGGGGGGGGGGGTAGGGGTTGTTAGGGGATTTGTTTGTTTTTGGGTTTGGGTTGGGGTGTTGGGGGGTTTTGGTTGGTGGGGGTTTGGGTGGGGTGGGTGTGGGTGGGGTTGGGTGGTTGGTTGGGGGGTTGGGGGGGGGGGAGGTGGAGGGGGTGGTGTGTGGGGTGGGTGGTTTGTGTGGGGTGGTGTGGTGTTGGGGGTTGTTTGGGTGGGGGGAGTGGGTGGTGGGGGGTGGGGTTTGTGGGGGGTTGGGGGGGGTTGTGGGGGGGGTGTGGGGGGTGTGTGGGTTGGTGTGTTTAGTGGTGTGTGTTTGTTGTGTTAGTGTTAGTATTAGTTTATATATTATAAGTATTAATATATATATGATATATATATATATATGATAGATATGATATTTGTTTAGGGGGGTGTGAAAGGATATAGGGTATATGATTGTAATGTTGTTATGTTAGGGGGGTAGTTGGTTGGGTTGGTATTGATGATTGGGGGTATTGGTATTTGTGGGGTTGTTGGGGTGGGGTGTGGGGGGGGTATGGGTGGTTGGGGTGGGGTTGGTTTGGGGTGTTGATTTGGTTTGGGTGGTGGGGATTGAGTGGTGATGGTGATATAATAATAAGAAGAATGAAATGTTAGGAAATGATGGGAATGAGGTGTTTGGGGGATGGAGGAGAATATTAAGGAATAAATTGGATGGTAATGGGGGGAGAGTTAGGGGAGTTTGTGTTTTTTTGTGGTATTGTGTATAGAAATGGGTGGGGGATTAATTATAAAGGTTGAAAAATAAGGTATAGGTTATTTTATTGAATAGGAATGGGATTGTTGGTTGGGGGTGGAGAATTGGGTTGGTGGGGTGGTTAAAGGGGGTGGGTAGAGTAGTAAATGGTATATGGTTTTTTTTTGTATTGAAAGGTGTTTTTTTATGTTTGTGGGTTGTTGTGAGATTTGGTAAGGTAGAATTTTGGGGTGTGGGGTGTGTAGTGGGGGGGATTGTGGGTGTATTGTTTGTTGTTTTTTGGAGTGGGGTTTTGTTGGGTTTTGTGTGATGGTGGGTGGATTGGTGAGGGGGATGGATATTTGGGGGGGGGGGTGGGGTTGGGTTGTGTGGGTGTGGGTGGGGGGGGGTGTTGGGTTGGGTGGGGTGGGTGGGGGGGGGGGTGGTGTTGTGTTTGTTTTGGTGTGGTAGTGTGGTGGTTTTGGGGGGTGGTTTTTGTTGGGTGGGGGGGTGGTGTTATTATGAGGGGGGAGTAGAATAGATGTTTGTTGGTTTGTATGGAGTTGTTGGATTTGAGGATTTAGTGGGGTTTGGGGGGGTTGTGTGGTTGGGGTGTTTGTGATGGGGTGTGGGGTTTGATTGGTTGGATGGTGGTTTTGTGGAGGATGGGGGTTTTGGGTGGTTGTGGTGTTTGTGTTGGTTTGTGTGGGGGGGGTGGTTGTGTTGGGTTTATTGGTGTTGGGGGGTTGTGTGGGGTGGTGTTTGGGGGGGGGTTTGGGTGGTGTTTGGTAGTTGGGGGTTGTGGTGTGGGTGTTTGTGGGGTTGTGGGTTGGGTTTGTGGGTGTGGGTGTGTTGTTTTTTTGTTGAGGGTGTTTGGGTTTTGGGTGGTGGGGTGGGTGTGTGGTGTTTTGGTTTGGGGGGTGTGTGGGTGGTTGGTTGGGTGGTGTGATGTGGGGGGGGGGGTTTTTGGGTGGTGGGGGGGGTGTTGTTGGGTTTTTTTGTGGTAGGTTGTGTGTGTGTTGGGGTGTGTTGTGTTGTTGTTGTGGTGGGGTGGGGGGGGTTGGGGTGGGTGTGGTTGTGGTGGGGGGTGGTGTTGTGTGGGGTGTTTGTTGGTTGGTTTGTTTGTGTTTGGGTTGTGGGGTTGGGGGTGGTGGGTTGTTTTGTGTGTTGGGGTGGTGGGGGGGGGTTTGTTGTGGTGATGTGGGGGGTGTGGGTGTGGGTGGTGTGTATGTGGTTTGTTTGTTGGGTGAGTGTTGTTGTGTTTTGTGGTTGGTTTTGGTTTGTTTGGGGGGGGGTGTGGGGGGGAGGGTTTGGGGGGGTTGGTGTGGGTGGGGGTGGGTGTGGGGGTGTGGGGTTGGGGGGTGGGTGGGGGGGGTTGTTGGTTTTTTGGTGTTGGGGTGGGGTTGGAGGAGTTGGTTTTGGGTAATTGGTTGGGGTTGTAGGGTGTGGGGGGTGGATTGGGGGGGGTGGGGGGGGTTGTGGGGGTGTTGTGGGGGGTGGGGTGTTGTGTGTTGGTTTGTGGTTGTTTTTGTTGGGGGGGTTTATTTTTTTGTTTGTGGTGGGTGGTGTTTGGTTTGGGTTGGGTTGGGTGGATTGTTTGTGATTTGTTGATGTTTGTGGGTGTTGTTGGTGTGGGTGTATGGTGTGTGGGGTGGTGGGTGGGGTGGGTGGTAGTTGGGTTGTGTTTGGATGTTGTTGTGTTGGTGGTTGGTGTTATTGTGTGGTATTAAGGTGTTGGGGGTGGTTGTTGTTGGTTGGTTGTGGGGGGTTGTTTTGTGTTGTGGGTTTGGTGGGTGTGGGGTGGGGGGGTTGGGGTGGGGGGGTTTTGGTTATTTGGGTGGGGGGGGGTATGGGAGGGGTGGTGGGTTGTGTTTGTGTTTTGGGGTTTGGATGTGTTGTTTAGTGTTTGGGTGATGTTGTTTTGGTGTGGTTTGGTGGGTGGTTTGTGTTGTTGTGTGGGTATTTTTGGGGGGTGTGGGTTGGGGGGGTTGTTAGATAGGGTTTTTGGGGTGTGTGGGTTGGTGGGTTGGGTGTGGTGGGTGTGGGGGTTTTGGTGTGTGTTTGTTTTGTTTTGGTTGTTGTGGTGGTTGTGATTGGGTTGTTGTTTGTGGGGTGGGGGTGGGTGGGTGGGTGTGTTGGGTGTGGTGGGGTGGGGGGGGGGGTGGGGTGGGGGGGGGTGGGGGTGGGGGGGGTGGGGGTTTTGGTGGTGGGGGGTGGTTGTTTGGGTGTTTTGGGGGGTGGGGTGGGTTTGTGGGTGGGGGTGTTGGTGGGGTTGGGGGGGTGGGGGGTGTGTTTGGGGGTGGGGGGGTTTGTGGGGTGGTGTGGGGGTGGTTGGTGGGTTTGTTTGGGGGGGGGGGGGGGGGGTTTTTGTGGTTGGGTTTTGGGGGTGTGGTGGTTGGGGTTTTTTTTGTGGGGGGAGTGGGGTGGTGTTTGGTTTTGTTGAGTGGGGGTGGGGGGGTGGTGTGGGGTTTTTTTTTGTTGGGTTGTGTGTTTTGGGTTGGGGTTGGTTGGTGGGGGGGGTGGTATGGGGGGTTGGTTGTGGTTGGATGTTTGGGTTGTGGATTATTTGTTGTTGTTGTTGGTTTTAATTTGTTGGTGATTTTGTGGTGTGTGTGTGGGGTGGGTGATTGTGGGTTGGGGGGGGTTGTTGTGATTGGGGTGGTTGGGGTTTTATTTGTGAGGTTTTTTGTTGGGTTTTGGGGGGGGGGGGTGGGGGGAGGGGTGTTGGGTGTAGGGGTATGGGTGGGTGGGGTGTTGGGGGTTTTGGTATTTGTGTGTTTTGTGTTTGTGGGGTTGTTGGGTGTTGGTGTGATGAGGGTTGTTTGGTGGGTGGTTGGGGTTGGTGGTGTGGGTTTTTGGGTTGTTTGGGTGGTGGTTATGGTGTTAGGGGGTTTGGGGGGTTTGGGGTTTTGTTGGTTTTGTTGTGTTATTTGGGGGTGGGGGGTTGGGGGGTTTTTTTGTTTGGGTGGTTGGGGTTTGTGGGTGTAGGGGTTTGGGGTGGGGTGGGGGATGTTGTTTGGGGTGGTTGGGTTGTGTGGGTTGTTTTTGGGGGTTGGGGGGTTGTGGGTTTTGGGGGGTTGTGTGGTTTGTGGGTGGGGTTGTGGTATGGTGTGTGTGGTGGTTTTTGGTTTGGTTGGTTGTGTTGTGGTGGTTTTGGGTTGGTGAGTGTGGTGGGATTTTGGTTGGTGGGGGTTTTTTTTGTGTGTTGTTGTTGGGTGGTGTGTGTGGTTGGGTGGGGGGTGGGGGGGGTTTGTGGTGGTGTGGTGTGGTGTTGGGGTGGTGGGGGTGTGGTGGGGGGTGTGTGGTATGGGTGGGGGGGGGTGTGTGGTTGGTGTTTTGTGTGGGGTTTGTGGTGGTTTGGTGGTGGTTTGTTGGTGGGTTTGTGGTGGGGTTGTTGGTGGGTTTGGTGTGGGGGTTTTGGTGGTGTGTTTGTGTGGGTTGGGTGGTGGTTGGTGGTGGGTTTGGTGGTGGGTTTTGTGGTGGGTTTGGTTGGTTGTGGTGGGTTGGTGGTGGGGTTTTGTGGGTGGGGTTGGTGTGGTTTGTGGTGGTTTGGTGGTGGTTTGGTGGTGGGTTGGGGGGGTGTGTTGTTGGGTGGTTTGTGGTGGGGGGGGTGGGGGGGGTGGGGGGGGGTGGTGGGGGGTGGTGGGGTGGGGGTGGGGGGTGGGTGTTTGGGGTGTTGGGGTGGGGGGTGGGGGGGGGTTGGTGGGGGGGTGTGGGGTTGGGTGGGTTGTGGGGGGGGTGGGGTGGTGGTGTGGGGGGTGTGTGGGGGGTGGGGTTGTTGGGGGGTTGTTTTGGTGTTGGGTTGTTTTTTGGGTTTGGGGTGGGGGTTGTGGGTGGGGGGGGGGGGTGGGGGTGGTTTGTGGTTGGGGGGGGGGTGGGTTTTGGGTGTTGTTGTGGGTTGTGGGGTGTTGGTTGGGGGTTGGGTGGGGTTGTGGGGGGGGTGTTGGTGGGAGTGGTGGGGGTGTGGGGGGTGGGGGTTGGTTTTGGGGGGGGGTTTGTGGGGGGGGTTTGGGGGGGGGTTGGGGTGGTTTGGTTGGGGTTTTTGGGGGGAGGGGGGGGGGGGGGGGGTGTTTGGGGGTGGGTGTGTGGGGGGGTTTGGGTTGGGGTGGTTGGGTGGGGGGGTGGGGGGTGGGGTGTGGGGTGGGTGTGGTGGTTGGGGTTGGTGGGTTGTGGGTGGGGGTGGGTTGTGTGGGGTGTGTGTGGGTGTGGGGTTTGGTGGGTGGTTGGGGTGTGTTAGGGTTGGTTATAAGGGTTTGTGGTTGATGGGGAGTGTTTTGGATTGTTTTATTGGTTTTGTGGGGTGTGGTATTGAATGTTGTGTATGGTAGGATTAGGTTGTTATGGGTGGGAGGGAGGATGGGAGGAGAAATGGATATTATATTAAAGGTGTGTTGTGTTGTTGGTATTGAAGGAGTTGGGGTTGAGAAATAGGGTTGGAGTATATGGGATAGGAATTTATGTTTGTGTGTTTTGGGGGTGGGGGGGGATTGGGATTAGATTGTTATTGAGTTGTTGGTTGGGGGGGGGGGGGGTTTGGGGGGGTTGAGTATTTTTGGATGTTGTGGGAGGATGGTGGGGGGGGGGAGAATTTGGGTTGGTTGGTATTGAGAGTTTGGTGGTTGTTGTGGGGGGGGGTGTGGTTTTGGGGGGGGGTTGTGGGGAGTGGGTGGGGGGGTTTAGGGGGGTTTGTGTTGTTTGTGTTGTGTGGGTGGATGTGGTGGGGGTGTTTTTGGTTTGGGTTTTGGGTTTGAATGGGTTGTTTTGGTGGGAGGGGGGTGGGTTTGGGGGATGGTTGTGGGTTTTTTTGGGTATTTGATGTTAGGGGTTTAGTGGTGTGTTTGGGGTTTGGGTGTTTTTGTGGTTGGGTTGTAGGTAATTTGGGGGATAAATTTGGGATGAATGTAGTTTTTTTTGTTATGTGAGTATTGGGTGAATTGTGATTAGTGTGGTTGTTGGTTGGGTTTGGGGGGGGGAGGGTGGTAGGGGGGGGGTAGGGGTTGATGTTTGGTGAGGGGTTGGTTGTTGGGGGGGGGGGGGGGGGGGGGTATGGTGGTATGTAGTTGGTTTTTTTGGGGGGGGTGTATTGTGGTGGTGTAGGTGGTATTTGGGGGGGTGGTGTGTGGTGAGGGTGGTGGTTTTGTGGTTGGGGTTGGGGTGGTTTGTGGGGGTTGGTTGGTTGGTTGTGTTTGTGTGGGGTTTGGGTGTTTGGGGTGTGTTTGTGGTTGGTGTGTGGTGTGTTGGGGGGGGGTGGGGGGGGTTTTGTGGGGGGGGTTGGGTGGTTGTTGGTTGGGTGGGGGTGGTGGGTTTGGTGTTGGGGGGGGTGGGGGGTGGGGGGGGGTTGTGTTTTGTTTTTTTATTGTGTGTTTTTTGTGGTTGGTGTTGGGTATTTGGGTTTTAGGATGTTGGGGTTGTGGGGTTGTTGGGTGGGGGGGTGTGTTGTGGTGTGATGTAATAGGATTTGATTAATTTTAAAGAAGGATGAAAGTAATTTAGGGATGAGATTTATTGGGTGTTTAGGGTGGATTTGATGAATTGTGAAATGTTATAGAGTGTAGGGGATTGTTAGTATAGGTGGTTGAAGGAATGATTATTAATTGATGAGGATAGAATTTGAGGGGAAGGTTGGGTTTGGATTTTGTGTAAGGGGAGATGGGGAATGTTTTTTGAGGGGGTTTGGGGGAATATTGAATAGGTGTAAATAATTTATGGTTGTTGGAGAAGGATTGTTTTAATTTGATTTATGGGGGAATATTGGATTTTAGTTGGGGGGGTTTTATATAGAGATGTTAAAGGTTAATAAGGTAAAAAATTAGATAGGGTGGTGAGGGATGGGGATGATTGTGTGATGGTTGTGGTGTGGTGTGGTGGTGGTGTTGGGGGGGGGTGTGGGGGGTTTTGGGGGTGGGATGGAGTGGTGTGTTGGGGTTTGTGTTAGTTTTGTTTGGTTGGGGGTGTTTTTGGGGGGGGATGTGGTTTGGGGGTGTGTTGTTGTTGTGTGTTGTTGGGTTGGTGGTGGGTGTGTGGTTGGGGGTGGTTTTGGGGTGTGTGGGGTGGTGGGGGGGGTGGTGGTGGTTATTGTTGATGTTGGGGTGTTGATTTGTTGGGTGGTAGGTTGGGTGAGTGTGTGTTTTTTTGGTGTTGGGGGGGGTGTTAGGTTGTGTGTATTTTGTGGATTGTAGTAAATAGGGGTTGGGGGGTGGGGGGGTTGTGGTGGTGTTGTGAATTTGTTGGGATGGTTTTGTGTTGGGGGAAATTGGGGGGGGTTGTGATTTTTGGGGTTTGGGGTGTGTGGGTGGGGGGTTGTAAGTTTGGATTTGGTTGTTGTTGGGTATGTGGATAGGGGGGGGGGGGGTATGTGGAGTGGGGTGGTGTGTGAGAGTGGGTGGGATAGTGGTAGGGGATAATAATTATTTTTTGGGTTTTTGTTGTGGGGTGTGTGTTGTGTGGTGGGGATGAGAGTGGGGGTTGGGAGTATTTGTGTTTGTGTTGGTGGTGTGGGGGTGGTTTGTGTTGTGGTGGGGGGGGTTGTTGGTGGGGTTGTGTGTTTAGTGGGGTTTTTTGGAGGGTGTGGTGGGGTGTTGGGGGGGTGGGTTGTTGAGTGTGGGTGTGGT